AACTACTAACCTAACCGGTGCGGGAACAGACGTCGGGAAAACAGAGAGCAGCAAAGCGCAGAAGGGACGATTTCGGGCGCGTCCCGCTATTAAATAGTGCGCACGGAAGGGCGGAGCAATATTTGCATGGCGGAGGCGTGGTCAGGCTTTGACCAATGACGCGTCTGGGTCACGTGCTCTCACCACGTGACCCCCAGACCGTATAACGCAGTGATTGGCCTGTTACACCATCCCCCGCCACACGTAATGATGCTCCCGCATCATTTACTAACTAACTAACTAACTAACTAACTAACTAACTAACTAACTTGACTTCGGAATTTCGAAATTGTACAGGGGGTGACTTCACTTACAAACTAAATAGCTAACTAATTAACTGAGCAATCCGAAACTGAACAGGAGTTAGAGAAGCAAACTAACTGACGTGGTTTAAGGGAAACCTCGCGAGTTCAGTGAACCAAACTTTAAAACAGGTATCCGGAAAAAAAAATCATAAGAGCAATAAACCTACATGTAATACAATACTAAATAACCGTAGCCTAACACATCTCTGCAAGGCCAACCCTATTATTGTCGTTCGCTAAAGAACGTAACATAACATATCGCAATCATCAATAAACATAACAATACAGCATAAATAAACAATACACATATTCAAAATCCAGCACCAGTAAAAACCATAAACGATACACATATTCATAATACAGTATAAGTAACGCCATACAGTCAATACATAATCAAATACAATCTAACCAAAGCAATACATAATCAAATACAGTCTAACCAAGCAATACATAATCAAATACAGTCTAACCAAACAATAATCAATACACATAAGCAAATACAGTATAGCCAAAGCAACAATCAATACACATCTCAAATACAGTATAATCAAAGCAACAATCAATACACATCTCAAATACAGTATAATCAAAGCAACAATCAATACACATCTCAAATACAGTATAATCAAAGCAATAATCAAATAGAAACCATAGTACAGCAACCAAGGGAACAAGTTCCAATTATCAATCAAAACAGGCCTGACAGGCATCCAAATTTACCGAATTCCAGGATCGTCGACGATCATTTCAAAACCAAAACAAATCAATCAAGTGTACTTAGCACAGACAGACCATTTCTAACCCGGTCGAGCCAGTTGGAGCGTTTTGCTCAGGATCCCGCTTTATTTTGTGGCGGGTCCATAACGACAGGACGTGGAGGGGACTAGGAGAGCAACACGTTCGGAAGGGACTACGTGACCCAACGAGGAGAAGAACGAGGCGACCTCACTACCTAACTCCCAGGGAACTTGGCCTTAAAACGGGCTACGAGTCCAGCCTGCTGATTTCGAGACCACCTGTTATCGTTGAAGGGGATGAAACTCCCGCATCATATACAAACACACATAAAACTGAAACAATTTAAATGGGAAAAAAAAACTTTTCCGATCGTTGTACATTGGTACGGAGGTCCAGTCGACGGAAATGGTGAGTGAATGTAACCCCGATATAAGAGATTGGCAGCGTGATGCTGCGGTACACGTCAAGGGGACGAGAAACTTACCCTGTGTTCAATGAGAGACTTACTTGAACGATTGGCGGCCCTCACGGAGGAGTGCTAGTCGCCCGCGCTCCCCCGTGGTAAGCCAACCGGCAAAGACCCCTAGGCTCACAGAGAACCGACCGGTAGGCATTTCTCCACATGTCGAACAAGATAAGTTGGGGATGGCAGAGGTTTCTCGTTGTGAAATTTGACGCGACAAAAGAAGAGGGGTACTATAGGAACTTCACCGATACACGTCATTTGAACCTCAGACGACAGGAAAAATATATATATATATATAAATATAGAGAATTTACGATTTAGGTGGGCGACTGAATGCCCTAACTAGGGACGACATCAGGCGTGTTACCCGGTTCTTTCTTTTTGGCGTGGATTCGTGAGCCAAGGACTTCAAGGGAGGGGGCGAGGGGTCTAACTCGAGCGATTCCCCCCGGGGACACGGCCTATCCGAAGGGTGGCACTGGCCAGTCAGCCCCACATCCTGGGAAACAACCTTTGTTACCTGGCATACATTGGGGTGGAAATGGTCTGTTTCACTTTCGCTATCGCTAGAGGGAACAGAGTCTGGTATAGAAATGTAGTTGTTTAAGTGTTCTGGTCGGCGGCGTCGACGATTTTGTCGTTGCGGCAATGGCGGCCTGGTAGCCGCAGCTGTGGACTGTACCGGATTCTGTGCCAGGACAGGAACGTCAGCCGTCGGCGCAGTTGACAGGACAGGAACGTCGGCCGTCGGCGCAGTTGACAGGACAGGAACGTCGGCCGTCGGCGCAGTTGACAGGACAGGATCGTCGGCCGTCGGCGCAGTTGACAGGACAGGATCGTCGGCCGTCGGCGCAGTTGACAGGACAGGATTGTCGGCTGTCGGCGCAGGGGACAGGGCGGGAGCGACTGGTGCCTGAACCGGTGTCGTTCGGGCCGGGCCCGTTAGTCGGTTCGTCCTAGTTGACGTCGACTCGGAGGCGGGTGGACCTGGAAAGGAAGAGGAAGAGGGTCCCGAGGACTGAAGTCCTTGCGGGGTTATCGGTCCTGCCTCGGAGTGGACGTTGTCGTCGCTCGAGTCACTTGGAGGGGTGTCGCTGTCACTGTCTTGGCTGTGGGTGGAGGGTTGATTATTTCGACGCCTTTGGCGCGCCGGTCGCGGAGCATCATGCCCCGGGTCATAATCTGGGTCCAGTTGCTGTGGAGTAAACGGTTTAAGGTTCTCAAAGTGGATCACCTTAACTTCTCGCCGGCCGCGGGTGTTTTGCACTTTGTAGGCCTGGTCTCCTACCCGTTCCAGGACCCGATACGGGCCATTGTATTTCCTGGCCAGTTTCCGGGCGAGACCTTGGCCTACTGCCTTGTTTAAGATCAAAACAAGGTCACCCGCGGCGTACGGCTCACCATGTACTCTCCTATCAAACAATTCTTTCTGTCGACACTGGTTTTGGGAAGTGTGTTGCTGCACCTGGTGGAAGATGGCGGGGAGGGAGTCGTTTAATTTGGTTACGAAACTGGGGATGGTGGTGTCAGGGAAGGGAATACCAGTCAGTAAGTGGACTGGTAGTCGGGCTTCGCGCCCATGCATCAAGAAAAATGGCGAAAACTTCGTAGTAGCATGGCAGCTTGTATTGTACGCGAAACGTACGGCGGGAAGGTGGACGTCCCAGTCCCGCTGATGGCTGGCGACGTAAGAACGGAGTATGTTAACCATTGTCCTGTTAAACCTTTCGACCAACCCGTCTGACTGCGGATGGTATGGCGTGGTCCGTGTTTTGGCGATTTTGAGGTACTCACATAAGCGTTTGATCAAGTTAGAATCGAAGTTTTTCCCTGATCAGTGTGCAGGGACGCTGGGGGGCCATGGCGACACACCCACTCAGAATAAAATTTGGCGGCCACCGACTCTGCTGTTTCGTTCACTAGAGGAAAGACGTCTACATATTTCGTGAAATAGTCGGAGGCCACAAGGATGTACTTGTGGCCATTAGCAGACTTGTGTAGAGGTCCGACAATGTCCATTGCCACCCTCTCGTTGGGGTAGCCAGTTATGCTGGGGCACAAGGGAGCCCGGGGGTGCCGTTGCCCCCCCTTCGACCTCTGGCATACTAAACAGCCTGTTATAAAAGACTTTGACCTCCGAAGTCAGCCCTGGCCTGTAAAACGCAAGTCTAATCCGTTCCACCGTTTTGTCAATCCCCAAATGGCCACAGAGCGGGTCCGTGTGGGCCATTCGAAGAACTGTGGGGACAAGGGCCCGAGGGACTAGTAGCTGCAGTCGCGGTTCGGGGTTTTGGGGATTGATTAGCTGTCGATACAGAACCCCGTCTCGAAAAACCAGACTGTCCCAGTCCCCATACAGGGAACGTTGGTCGCGCGTCAAGGCCTGCCAGCCGGCGGGCACAGGTTTAACGTTCTGGGACTTGTCAGTAACGAGTTGTCCCAGGAGGGGGTCGTCGCGCTGTTTCGCGGCCAAGTCCAACGGGGAACACAGTGGGATCGGGTGGGAGGCAGTGTCAGACCTAACGTTATTAATCAGGGGGCCAGTGACGCGCGGCGGGTCGTCAGACAAGTCAAGGGCGTTGTCATCTGCGCCGCATTGATGGCAGGGGTGGCGGCTGAGCGCATCGGCGTTGCCGTGGCTCGTGCCGGCCCTGTGCTCTACCGTAAAATCGTACGGGCTGAGCCGGATTATCCACCGGGCCGACTGCCCGGTGGGGTTCTTATTCCGTAACAGATAACGTACGGCTATATTGTCCGTGCGAAGGCGAAAGGGGTGGAGCCCGTGCAGGTAACAGTCGTGTTTGGTGACAAACTCCACCACGGCCAGCATCTCCCGGCGGTGTGTGCAGTACCGCTGTTCAGCTGGCGTGAGTGCTCTGCTATAGTACAATATTGCCCGTTCTTTACCGTCTTGGACCTGACTCAGGACGCCCCCGATTCCCGTGTCCGAAGCATCGGTATCTACAACAAAAGGAGATCGAAGTTCGGATAGGCCAGGACCGGAGAGGTGACCAGGGCCTTCTTAAGGGCGTCGAATGCCGTCTGGCAATCAGAGGACCAAACAAAACGGGCGCCTTTCCGAGTCAGAACCGTCAACGGCCGGGCGAGTTGGGCAAACCCGCGGACAAACCGACGATAGTAGTTCGCGAGGCCTAAGAAACGCTGAATGTCGCGAACCGAACGCGGGGTGGGCCAGTTATCGATGGCGTCTGTCTTCGAGGAGTCTGTACTGACTCCGTTACCGGAGATTATATGGCCCAGGAACTCGACCCGGCGTTGGAGGAAACGACATTTCTCGGGGTTTAGTTTCAGACGCGCCTCACGGTACCGCTGGAAGACGGCCCGCAGATTGTGAAGATGGGCCGTGACGTCATCGTCAGAATGTACGATATTGTCGTCAAGATATGCTAAACAACACTGTGGTTGCAAGCCGCGCAATACAGATTCCATCAGTCGGGCAAAGGACGACGGCGCGTTGCAAAGACCGAACGGTAAGGCCGTATACTGATACGTTCCGAAAGGACTGGTGAACGCGGTTTTTTCAACAGACGCGGGGTCGACCGGGATTTGGTGGTATCCCGACCTCATATCTAGGGTGGAGAACAATTTTGAGCCTGAAAGGGCATCAAGGGTATCGTCAATACGGGGGAGAGGCCAGGAGCATTTCTTCGTCACCGAGTTAAGGGCCCTATAGTCGACACACATCCTGGTGTCTCCGTTCTTCTTCTTAACCAGTACGATGGGGGCCCCCCAAGGAGAATTTGAAGGCTCAATAAACCCCAGTGACGTCAGTTTATCTAGCTCCTGACGAATCAGCTCCTTAGCCTGGGGAGTCTCGCCGGGGTAACGGGTCAGAGCGAACAGGTCTGCGCGGTAGTGGGAAGGGTTGTCGGGGCGGCTGTACATTTCTCGCATGAAATCTAAAATCAGGTCACAATCCCCCTCCCTTATATTAGGCGGTGCTGTGTTGTACGTTTGGAGGGCACCGCCCGTAAGGTGTCGAAGGAGGACAGTTTTGCACAGATCGTTGTCCCACTCTCCGTAGGACCTGTCCGTGTTCAGGTGAGTTTCGAATTCCTCCCACGTGACATCATGAGAGGTGCCGTCGAACCGGCACGGCAGTTTGGGCAGCGGCCCGTGGCGAGGGTTGCGAGGCCGAGGGACTGCGTCCTCGAACTGACCAGAAACTGCCCTGGGTATGTAACGCGGACGGGTGCGCTGGGGAGAGGGGTCGCGATTTGGGGGCGGGGTGGGTTGCCTCACCGGGGAGGACACGGCTCCCCCCGGCGCGACTGGATGGCCTCGCCCGCGGCCTCTAGCGCGGCCACGGCCGCGACCATTAGCACGCAGACCATGGTTAAAAGTAATAACATCGTTATCAGGGACAGTACGAGTGCCGGAGCTAGAGCCAGAGTTAGAGGCAGCGTCAGATCCAGACATAGTGAGAAACGGAGGGGGAACAGGGACAGTGGGACCAGAGGTGGGGGAAAAATAAAAATTAATGGGGTTGTGAAAAAGGTGCGGCTGGGGGAAAGTTGCAAAGGTCAGACAGGGAACAGACGGTGAAACGACAGACTAGGAGACACAAAGGTGATGAGAACACGCTAATGAATACAGGAGGGGAGGTGAGAAGTCAGGGAACAGAAGGTGCGGTCGGAACCAGCTGGAAATCAGAGGGTCGCAGAGAGGTGTTAAAAGGAAGGACAAGCGCCAAAAGGACACAGCCGCGCGTGCACGTGGGAGGGGAGGGGGGCAAGGTAGCGATGGAGACGCGGTCAAAATGCGTTGAACAAAGTTTCAATAAAACAATGGTGGGTAACTGGTTTGAGTGTAGGCAGGCCACGACAGGCGCCAAGTGCCGAACGAGGTAGGTATGTTATTTATGCGCGCGGTATGGTAGCGGGAGAAGGCGACCGTACAAGGCGCCAAAGGGGAAGATTCGGGGAGGGTGTTACACGAGGGGCGAGAACAGGGCCAAAAGGTTACTGCACGAATGGGCAATCGACGCGAGTGGAAAAGGGCCAATGATGAGACAATGTGACAATTTGGGTCTGACCCTAACAGTCAGACACGGCCGAGTACAAGGGGTGAAAACAAAACAAAACCGCAAAGGGGAAATTTTGATTAGAATACAACACAGCGTCAACAATGCAAAAACAACATGTACTAATTTGGAAAAAAAAAACACGTCAAGGTGGAATGCAACAGAGAGTCGGCGACACAAAGCGACGCCGAGATTGGTGTGGCGCCGGGAAAGACGATGCCGACGGTTCACAGGTAAGTGGTGGCCGAATGGAAATTTGGCTAGGACGACGGCCGTCTGACTTACAAGAAAGTGAGAACTAAAAACAGAGGATTTTTGGTGAATTACAAAGGTTTCACAGGTAAGTGTCGGCCGAATGGAAAAGTAGCACTAACAATGGAACGCCGAGCTGTCTGACTGACAAGGAGGTGCTAACAAAAACAGAAGTTTTACGGCGATTTACAAAGGTTGGGAATAGCCAGGTGAATAGCCAGGCGAGTACAAAATTTGGAAGCGTACAAAATTTGGAAGCTTCTGGAGCCAATTGTAACTACGAATCAGAGAATAGAAAAAAAAATCAAGGTTCTGCGGGCCAAAACAACAGCACAGATAAAATTATAGGCGGTGCTGGGGAATCACAACACACAGCGAAAGGAGCAAAGTAGCAATTAATCGGAACAGAACGAAAGAGGCAGTTTGAATTTGCGACACGTGGTGACGCTTAGTCGAGGGTCGAAACACAAGCGAAAAAAAAAAAAATTGTACAGAGAACCAAACTAAATTTTGGTCAGATGTGGGTCAGATATAACTTTTGCAGCAAGGTCGGGCCGGGCAAGGGGACAATTTTACAAAGGCCAGGTGCAACAACACAGCTTCAAAATACAATTCGTTTACACCGTGAGCAAAAGTTACAAGAACAAAATGGATTCTATGAAAAGTACAATTCTATATACCGCAGTAGGCAAAGGTCACAGCGCAAATATAATTCCGTGTGGGAACCATGTAACAAACGGTCTTTCTGCGTGGGTAGGATTTGGACTAACTTACGACTACAGTTACGATTACAGTTACGATTACAGTTACGATTACGGTTACAATCCTTAGACTCTCACTCTAAGGCACAAGTTACTAGACTCTCACTCTAAGTAACACCAAAGCCAGGTCGATTTATATTTGATGTGACTTTATTGACTAACTGCGGTATAACAATATACAAAGCAATGGAACATATAATGGAGCGACGGATACAAAGTTAACCAAGTACTAAAGTGAGCAAGAATAACGAAAGTAAATACCTGTACAGCAGATGGGAAGCGTGGAAACTACTTAACTAAACTACTAACCTAACCGGTGCGGGAACAGACGTCGGGAAAACAGAGAGCAGCAAAGCGCAGAAGACCGATTTCGGCCGCGTCCCGCTATTAAATAGTGCGCACGGAAGGGCGGAGCAATATTTGCATGGCGGAGGCGTGGTCAGGCTTTGACCAATGACGCGTCTGGGTCACGTGCTCTCACCACGTGACCCCAGACCGTATAACGCAGTGATTGGCCTGTTACAATAGAACTGGTCCTCCAGACAAGGATGGGACAAGGAGATCAGATGAGAACAGGTCTCTAAATGTTGCACATACCCCATATTCATGTAGCCCATCATAACAGTGATCCACTCTAAGGGAAATGTGACCTGCCCCTTGAAGTACCATACTTGACTCACCCCTCCACTTGCTCCGTGGATCAACACAGTCTCTCCAGGCTTCCCATGGGTCCTGTAAAATACAAGCTCCAGTTAGTTCAGAGTGATGACAGAGCTACAGGATTATCAACAAATTTTACAGACAGGATTAGGCCACACCGACTTAATTTTATGGATGACATCCGCGCGCGCATTGATTTTCGCCTGTCGCCCTCAAAAAAAAAAAAAAAGATCACATCCACCGAGGCTCTGGCCTTGCTCTAGGCCTGGGTAGTCCATGCTAGTCAGCGACAAAACGGAGCCGAGCACCCAAGCTATCGAATTCGAAGCTCCACGACTCAAGAACTCAGTACATAAGTATAGTATCGATTCATAAATGCCACAAAAAGCCAGCATGTGCCGGCTTGTCGCCAATGATACGTCAGTATGTACTGTCGGGAATTCACAATACCAGCTTTGTATTCCTGTGGTTCAGTAGCATTTTTATTTTTGGCCGGAATTTTTTTTATTCGCCCGCGCGCACTAGTTTGGTGGTCTTCAGAGGATGTCATCCATAAAATTAAATCGGTGTGGCAGCAAATTTTGAAAATTAAATTTTACTGTGCTCTCAGGCACTCTGAAGGTTAGATCCTTTGAATATGTGGTCCAGAAGTTGTATTTCCAAATGTAGCAATTATAGCAATCACTGTGCATGTAGTTAGTAGTAAGTTGTGTTCTACAGCACCCCACAGTGTTGTGAAGGGTTTAGTGACACCTACATGTGTAGCTCACCACGAGTCAGGTACAAGTATCAAATCCTTTAACATAGAAAACCTATTTGTCCAAGAGTAGAATGGATGAATGTACAAATGTACATCAAACTGCTGTATGTACAGTAACCCAGGATTATGCACTGCTACTGTTACCTGTGAAACAGTGCCCTGTACGCTGTCAGGTACGGTGTCCCCATGGCGGCACCCTGCTGAAATGACAGCCGGTCTGCCAGTCTGAAGGTGGAGTCTTCTTCAGCCACGGTGTACTCCGCGTACGCACCCGTCACACATCTACTGGTGTACACTCTGTCTCCCTTCTGTACTAAAAGTGTGTGATCATGAGGAATTGTTCATTGACTGAATCATTACTACTACCGGGGTGACTACATGTACTGATTTCATTCTTTCACTCACTCGTTCTGGAGGAATCTTTTTTCAAAGATTTGGTGCACCATGTTTCGTCCAATATTTGTCATCTTGCTTTCTTAGGATTAAAAAAAAAATCTCAGCATGGACCTATGCTACATTGGATTCAGTGTGGTCTTTCTAGAGACTACTGAAGATATGACAACCTGCAGTACTTATCTATTCCCGTAGATGTCTCTGCTACACTGACCTTAAACTTGCCAACTTGCCTTAGTCGCTTCTTCACTCAACATCTACCACTACCCCAGCATGTTCACTGTGCGGTGTAAGGGCATGAGGGCTTGGTACACTGCAATACCAATATATTCCAGTAGGTGTCACTGCTGCACTGACCTTAAACTTGGTAGCCTCTTTCCCCACATCCTCCACCACCCCAGCAATGTCCCCCCCGGGTGTCCATGGCAGGGGGGGTTTGATGTTGTGGGTACCGCTTCGAATGTAGGTTTCCACTGGGTTCACCCCAACTGCTGACACTTTAATTAGAACCTGGGGAAGGTTGAAAGAAGGGAACAAATTGTTGTGAGCAAACAATACATGTAGATACCAGCCCCCAACACAACTTCATGGCAATATGTCCACCTTTGTGTGTGTGTGTGTGTGTCTCTACATGTGTTTAAGTATGTATGTATGCATGTGTTTGTGTTTGGATATGCATAATACTTTAGTGTGTGTATATGTGTATGAATGCATGTGTGTGTGTGTGTGTGTGTGTACCATGTAAAAACATGTACATGTACTTGTGTATTTATGTGTGTACACACACGGGTGTATACAGTGTGCATACTACAATTGTACAAATTACTTTCATTTAGACCAAAAGCATTTCTTATTAACAAACAAACAAACAGATAAACTCACCTGTTTGCCTTGTGCCTGAGGAATGGCCACCTCCTCAACTTTGAGCACCTCCGGCCCGCCAAACTCTCTCACCACGACTGCCCATAAACAAATACACAATAAACAAACAAACAAACAAACAAACAATCTCACCTGTTTGGCCTGTGCCTGAGAAATGACCACCTCCTCGACTTTGAGCACCTCCGGCCCGCAGAACTCTCTCACCACGACTGCCCATAAACAAAGACACAATAAACAAACAAACAAACAGAAAATCTCACCTGTTTGCCTTGTGCCTGAGGAATGGCCACCTCCTCGACTTTGAGCACCTCCGGCCCGCCGAACTCTCTCACCACGACGGCCCGCATGGCTCCTGCTGTGGCTCGCAGGGAAGCAGACATCAGCTGTTAGCGGGGCCTAGGGATACCAGAGTTAGCAACAAGCAGCTACTCAGGCTTTGATAGAAACTTTATTGACACAACAAAAGTACATTGAATTTTGTAAGGCCCTTAACTACATGCAAACATACAGAAACGTGTGTATAACAAAATTGACCTACTTTACAAAACAATACTTGGACTATATTGACAACCTTATGGTTTCTCTGTTGCGGGGTGTATGGGCTAAAGCAGTAGGGGGAAGGTCAAAATACCAGGGCTCATAAAAACACAAATATGCAGAGCTTATACCTCATACAATTATAAGACCTCAAATTCGCAAATACAGTCTGGCTATAACAATAGTACAGCTACATGTAAAGTTACCTAGACGTTTTGTACTTTGAATCCATAGGAACTTAAAGAATCACTACAGTGCCCTCACCTGTTGTGTACCTGTCTTGTTCCAAAGTTTCCACGTCTTCACACCTGGCCCCGCCCCCTTCGCACGTTCCTACGTCACTCACGTCGCTTCCCTCGCCCGAAACTACGAACAGTACCGACAGGACGGCGTTACAGACGCGTAACACAAAACCGGCACGCATACAGGCAACGAAAGTTGGCAAAAGGCTCCAAAAATCACGAAATTCGTGAGAGTAAACTTGTACGTGTGGTGTGGGTTGTTGACCCACGAGTGAACTATGGCCCTTTGACACCTGGGCAAATAAAGCGCCATCTGTCGAAGTTATATTGAACAGTACAAATTTCACTATGGGAATAGAGCTTGTGCCATCCGATTTGCTACGCGCTCCTTACACCCGCTTGGCGAAAAAAAAAAATCCCAGAAATATAGACAAGTCATTGCTTGTGGATACAATGGCACGCAGTCGCCAGTTATTTTTTTTTTCTCGGGTTTTGTAGGAAATTGAAGAGCCGGGTTGGGGTTTAGCGCAAAGTAGCGAGGTTAAGAAGTACAAAAGGGTAAATTCATGTCTTACCTTCAAGTGCTTTTTCAAGGTCTTCAAATGGTACCGGAGTTGTAAAATAAACCGTGCCAGTAGAATATGAAGATATAAGTGGCATTGTCCAGGTCAGAGGTGAATAGGTCACGAAAAGGTCACAGGTCCTGATTACCCCACTAGTAAATTCCGTCACCGTAGATCTTTTTGAAATAATTAAATCATACGAGGGTGTAACAACATTCTATATGTAGATTTTAAAAAATAGTGACTGGTCTTTAAAAAAAACCAAACACCTTCGTCATCATTTCATAAATATTCTGACTTTCTGATAAACATGCATTTAATCACAATGCACTATCTAAATACATGTACTTGTACATAAATAAAATAAATACATGGTCTTATTTCTTCACAAGACGTTCTTACAGAACTTTGAGCTTCTGGACTGAACACAGTATCATTTCTTCAAATGACATACTTTTCTCCATGTACATCATTGAAGGATGTACCATATGGAGGATGTGATTTCTTTTTAATAATCAATATCAAGATACTACATCACATAGACATATAAAATATACACATATTCAACTATTACGATGTCAACATCAGGTGGAACAATGATCTCCAAGCAGATATTGGGGGAGACCAAATTGTTACGCTTTCTTAGGTACCGTAAGGAGTTGAAGGCTACTTGTATATTCAATTTGCAAATAACAGTTCAGAAATAATACTGATTAAGTGATAATACTGTATTACGCATCATTTGAATGCACCAAACCCTAATTATGAGTCTGTATAGCATACTGAGAATTCTCATTCAATTTAAAAGATGCATTTTGATCAAAGTTGTGTTTTCTTAGCTACAGCAAGTTGATCATTTTGTGCTTCCTCTTGTGTTTATTAAGGTCTCCCATGTCAGCTGCCCTGTGCCCACACTCCTCACACACACAGCATTTCCCTCCATTAGTCGTGTGTTTAAACCTGTGTACATCCAAGTCCCTTTTCTGCACAGCTGAATAGTCGCACTGGTCACACTTGTAAGGATTGTCGCCTGTGTGTGTTTTCATGTGTCTGTTTAGTCCATGCTTGTGAGCAGTCCTGTATCCACACTTGTCACACTTGTGCTTTTTCTCACCCGTGTGTGTGGCCATGTGTTCGCTGAGGTTGCTCTTCCTAGCGGTAGAAAAGCCACACAGGTTACACTTGTAGGGATACTGGCCAGTGTGAGTTATCATGTGCCTCGTGAGGTGGACACGGTAAGTCGTGCTGTACCCACACTCCGTGCAGACGTAGGGTTTCTTCCCCGAGTGTTTCCGAACGTGCATGTCTATACTGGTCTTCCAGGCAGTTGAGAAGTCACAAAGATCGCACTTGTACGGTTTCTCACCCGTGTGAATCCTCACGTGCTCGGTGAGGCTGAAACCGTTCGGTGCCCTGTAGTCACACTCCACACATATGTACGGCGGGCCTTTCGGTGGTTTTGCAACACTTTCGATCCTGTACCCTGCAGGAGGCTGTTCGCTTGTATGCGAGGAGGCTTCTGTATCAGCTTGGGGGGAATTGAAATTGAAACAGTTTGTTCCTTCAAACAGATTGTCTTTTTCTTTCCTCTCATTCTGTTGGCTACTAGTTCCTCTTGCCATGTCCTCTTTACTCTCAGAGACTACATTGCAAGTTTCCTCACATGGACTCTTTCTTTCCTTGTCCTGCTGCCTTCCTAGGCCCGTGTCTCTTGTCTGGTCCTCTCTGTTATTTGTTTCATAAGCAGACAGAATAGAGCCTACACTAGTACAGGTTGCTTCACTTAGACTCTCCCTTTCCTTGTCCTGTTGCCTTCCTGTGTCTCTTGTCTGGCCCTCTCTGTTATTTGTTTCATGAGTAGGCAGGATAGAGCCCACAGTAGTACAGGTTTCCTCACATGGACTCTCCCTTTCCTTGTCCTGCTGCCTTCCTGTGTCTGTTGCCTGGCCCTCTCTGCTGTTGGTCTCCTTCTCAGGGTTTTCATCAGGAAGTTCCTCAACAGGAATCCCACAGGTTGCCATTTCCAATTACTAGGAACTGTAGCAAATTTGAAAAAGATACATATAAATATATGGCTGTAAGTTACTAGTAATAGAACTGAATCATACTGTCATGATATTGTTTTATAGCATTGTATATAACCAGAGGTATATCACACATGGTATGTTAAAATCCCCTGATTCTCCACAAATTATGCTTTTGAATTTTATACTAGTATACTTAGCCTGCTTCACAAACTTAGACATATACAGACATATATCATCTGCCAAATATATTATAACCTACCCTATATGTGATGTATACTAGCAGCAAACTGTCATTACTCTGGACAAAATGCAGGTATTCTGTGCATCCTGTGCATGGTGACTGGCTCACGCCCCTTACAGTTTAATAGGAACGCTACACCTGTTATGCCCCCCTCCCCCGCCCATTCATTTACTGTACGTAGCCAACCCATATTTCTGTCAATCAAAACACACCCATGTTTCGATCTTGCAGGCGTATTTAGAGTAATCTTTCGTTCGTTTACAATAAGTTAAGGTCTTACCTGTATTTTCACAAAGCTGTACTTTTACCACAGCGATCAAATGTGTTGAAAATCACGTTATCCGAGAGAAAAACAACCTTTCGGTTTAGCCAAAATGGCGGAAGAGAAAATTTTGAAGAGTACTTTAAAGGTCAAAGTTTACGTACCTGATTACCCAACTCAAACTTCGAGTCACCGTATAACTGTTAACAGGTTACGGTTTCATTCTGTTTAATCAACTGTTTATTATTCAATCAACCTTAGAGTATTTGAGACATGCCAATATCTAATGGATAAACATGAACTAGTACTAGTATCCTTTATTTTCTCAAGAAAACGAAAACCAAGTTTAAGTCTTATAGTTAGTAATAAAAGCATTATCTAGTCTCTTATATTTAGTGAAAGAAAAAGAAAGAGAGAGAGATGCACACAGACATGAAGAGATTGATGTCTTTCAATTTTATTAGTTTACTGGTTTACATTCAAAAGAGGCATTGCAACAGTACACAACATTACAATGTGCAATTCTATAATGACAATGTGCATGTGTACATCACTACTATACAAGTCACACTTTCTAGGAGTTAAACATTCTCTAATGCACAACATAGATAGATACTAGTACTTTCCCATGCACTGAGAATTCCCTCCTATGTTTTTCTTTTGTAACGAAATGGTTGGTAAACATTGCATTTTAATAGTTACAGACTTTTCAAAGTTTACTCAGTCAGTATTTGTACTGCCTTCCTAGACTACAGATAGCTTTACTGCACAACAATTGCACAGGGTACAAACAATTGGAGTTAGAACTTTTAACTCCATGGTACTAAGTATGGCATCTACTACTTAATATATCAACTACAATTTATAAGACTAGACACTTTATACATTCATTGTGCACTACCGTCAAAGCATGCATCTTTAATATTTGTAGGCATTGTGCTTTCGTTCACTTTACAAATTTGGTTGTTGTTGTTACATTACATTGTTACATTTGGTTATCACAGTTTTCCAACGCGAAAGGATTTTCACACTGATCTAAGCTGCAAGGAATCTTTGCTAGGTGTCTTTTCATGTGTGCATTTAGGCTTGACACATACCCAGTCCTAAACCCACACTCCCCACACATGTAGGGTTTCTCTCCAGTGTGTTTAGCCATGTGCTGTGTCAACAGACCCCTTTGGTTTGCTGCAAAGTCACACTGGTCACACTTGTAGGGTTTCTCCCCAGTGTGTGTTCTTTTGTGTGTAGCTAGGTAATTACTGTAAGCTGTCCTGAATCCGCACTCCTCACACATGTAGGGTTTGTCTCCAGTGTGTTTAGCCATGTGTATTTCTAATTCACGCTTTTCTGTGGAAGAATGGTCGCACAGGTTACACTTAAAAGGTTTTTCCCCAGTGTGTTTATTAACCATGTGCCGATCTAGATTACTCTTTCTTGCAGTAAAATAGTCGCAACGGTCACACTTGTGGATTTTGCCTCTATATGTACTGGCACGTATGGGTCCGGATATGGGAGAATTGTCTGCTGTCCTGTACCCAAACTCCCCACACATGGAGGGGTTGTCTCTGGCGTGTTTAGCCATCATGTGACGGGGTAAATTGGACTTGCGTGCAGTAGAATAGTCACAATGGTCACACTTGTAGGGTTTCTCGCCCGTGTGTGTTTTTGTGTGATCGGTAAAGTGAGACCTGCTAGCTGTGCTGTATCCGCACTCCTTGCACACGTATGGTTTAACTTTTTCTCCGCCATGTTCAAACATGTGTTTAGCAAGGTTACTCTTTTTCGCTGTAGCATAGTTGCAGTGGATACATATGTATGGCTTCTCACCGGTATGAGTTCGTACATGGTCCAATAGGTGAGACCTGTTAGATGTTTTATATCCGCACTCAAAACACAAGTAAGACTTCTTTCTTTGGTACGATGAGGTTTTTTTGTCAGATGGGTTGGTCTTTTTCTCAACGGGCATGTTATTTTCCTCAGTTCCCTTTTCCTCACATGGGCTCTCCCTTTGCTCACATGGACTCCCCCTTTGCTCACATGGGCTCTCCCTTTGCTCACATGGACTCTCCCTTTGCTCACATGGACTCTCCCTTTCCTCACATGGACTCTCCCTTTCCTCACATGGACTCTCCCTTTCCTCACATGGACTTTCCCTTTCCTCACATGGACTCTCCCTTTCATCACATGGACTTTCCCTTTCCTCACATGGACTCTCCCTTTCCTCACATGGACTCTCCCTTTCCTCACATGGACTTTCCCTTTCCTCACATGGACTTTCCCTTTCCTCACATGGACTCTCCCTTTCATCACATGGACTTTCCCTTTCCTCACATGGACTCTCCCTTTCATCACATGGACTTTCCTGTTGCCTGTCCTGCTGCCTTCCTGTGAATGTTGTCCAGCCAGTGGCCAATTCGTCCACTGGAAACCCCTCCATTTTTAATTTCCCTTCCATTTCTAGTAAGACACAAAACACAAGAAAAGTTGAGCCATTATCTATATATGTTCGACTATTTCTCATCAAAAATTCTTTGCACCCCTGTACTAGAGTACATGTCACCTTTACCGTCACAATTAAAAGTTAACGTAAAAAATGTAAAATTCTCCCAGTCCTTACAATTGAGATATCTCATGCATACGGCAATGTTGGTCCCTACCGTCAATATAGTAACATGGTTACATGATATTTATATTATGCCACCCCCCCCATACGTACAGTCTCTATATAATGCATCGGTAAGGCCTATATTGCCTTCGCATTAGCACAAATAAGTTACTGATAGATGCCAAACGGTCTTACCACTCTGTTTGCCGTGCTAAGGACGTTTATACTACACTCTACTCTTGAAAATCACTCAAAAATGTGGACAAATTATGACATGACACCACTCCAATAAAAATGGCGGATCGGCGCGGGGTCACAGGTCAGTACTTCCCCAGGCGAACGGTCAAAGGTCACGTACCTTATTACCTCAATAAATGTGCTGCCTGCCCCTGAAGATACTGTACTCAAAGTGGCTTAGAGCTGATTTCAGTGAATGAATGAATGAGTGAATGAATAAATGAATGAATGAATGAATGAATGAACTGAACTGATCTGATTTGAATTGTATTGAAAACGAAAACTGCTGGACAGTATTTTCATAGACTGACGTCACTCATTACGTTCCTCGTTACTGATTTTATCTCTAACATAGTAACTGCTTGATTGTAGGAGAAAAATGATCATTTTAATTTATGTGTTTTGTAATGTTGTGTACTCATGTATTTTAATATTTATGGCTCTCCGAAAGTGGAGGAATAAAGAAAGGAATGAATGAATGAATGAATGAATGAATGAATGAGCGTGTAAGAGATACCTTGATAATTATTCACCTGAACATTCACCTGAATCCAATCCTGGTCAATCGGTACCCTTCTCTTTATATATATTAGGAAAGTATATTAACGAAACACTGTGAATAAAAACAATCTGTCGAGACTTTTAACCCAGTTTATTTCGGCGCAGACAGACACCTGGCCTCTCTACAGTGTTAGGTGAGTATGATGACACTATCTTTCAAACAAGTGGAGTTTTCTAAATCTATGAAGTATTATTTCAGTTAGTTGGAAACCTTGACTAACTAGTAGATATGAAATGTTTAATTCAATATCTAGTTATATTTCATAGTTACATTATACATGTATATTATATCAAATATCAGAGTTATTAATCAAGAACTGGTGTTCAAAAACTAGTATTTTCCAAGAAATATCGTATCGTTGCCACTAAAGCACAGTTGGGGTATCATCACTAGAAAGCGTTGTTACTCCGGCAATTAAATGCAAAGATTGACTATTGTTAAACCGAAGGGCGCTTATACCGGCTATACCGATACAGATACGTCACTCGTCGTCATGGAGACGCACGGCTAGAAGCCGGCGGCGTTCTTCAGGAGGACGGCCATGACGGCGGTTGCCATGGTGATGACGCTGACGCTGACGGCGGCTGACGCTCCGGTGGTGTCGGGCTGTGCCACGCAGCCGTCAGTGTTACAGCAGGCGATACAGGCCGAGCTGTTGGTGGCAGGCTTGCACGCGTTGACGTTGACTATCTTACCTGAAACACACACAAAAAAGATCTTGCTTTATCGATCTTCCAATGACATGGCAGGTACACGAAAAAAAGTATTACCTGAAATGCGTCATTATCACAAAGCAGCCGTTTGTGTTAAAAGTTCAAGTACATCATAATACTGTACGTACCTTATAGAATAGAATCCTCACAGTCTAGATATAAACTCTCAAATAAACAATTTGCAAACATTTGAAGGTTCATCTGTGTTGTTAGAAGAAGTAATGCATTATGAAGCAAGTTTGAACTCTAATTCCTAACACAAAATACTGTACGAAAGAACAATATAATTCTTAGTATATCGTCAATGATAATTGTCTGTATAACATGAGTGATAACTGTTAGCCTATATCTTCCAGGATGTAATTGAAGTATGCCAGATGTACATATACCTGCGTCACACTGCTGCTTAGTTCCACAGCGGCTAGTCCATTGTTGAGCAATGCCTGGAGCCTCTGCAAAACAAGTTGGTTGCATTTAAACCTCCTTGCTGCTTTGTATTCCTCCCTTTCCTTTCTATCATGACTACCCGTGCACTAGGAACTAGTTAATGTTTGCTTCTAGTGTGTGACATTCGTATAGACACAAACATTCGTAATATGTAACATTATAGGTAGTATATCAGAATTCAATTTAATTCAATTCATCTAGTCGGCACAGTATTATAGTTCGCCATGCATTTAACTTTATGTCACTATGTCCACTCTATTAATATAAGTCCTATGCATCTTACAGCCATGCGAAGGCACAAACACTATAACAATAACACAGTGTCACACACAAGCACACACTAAAAAAATAACACACACACACACCAACACGCACACACACGCGCGCACTCTGAAACACACACACACACACACACACACACACACACACACACACGCAAACACACACACACACACACACACACACACATTGACACACGCACAGAGACATACCAAAACAATGGAGGTAAAAAGTACGTACTGGCGGTAACGGTGTAACAGTAGGTCTCGGCCGCGGTTTGATTGCAGGTCGCCTGACGCGACTGAAGGCACGCCGCCCGAGTGCCCACCTGGTCGCACGTAGGGCATTTCAGCGCTGCACCTGTCGCAAAAATAATAGATTCAACTTTAAAGGCATCTAATGCAATTTCAGGGCAGCAAAGTCATTCTTTTAATGTAGCAAGTCAATCCCATCACACTGATATCTGTGAGGTGCATGGAAATGTGTTGTTTCTTACGGAAAACGGTTGCTTGTTTTGTATCGTTGGCTGGTTCTAGCTAGAGGTGGTACCCAAAAATAAAAGAGACGCCTTGCGTACCATATTGTGCTTTTTTTTCAAATGCTTCAATTATGAAAGGATGACGAACATGTGCTAAGAAATGGCAGTAAATATCAATATCAGAGAGATTTCATCATCCAGAATATTTGTTTAGTTTTGCCCCCCTCCCCCCCAAATTGCATTGTATTCCTTCAAACATGTTTTCAAATGACGGCATCTGCATGTTACTGTAGCGAAGACGCAGTCCAAAATCTCAACTAGGTGCGGCAAACTGTACTCTCTAGCGGACCAACAGTGAACTCCCCTGGCATGCTATCTCTCTATTTGACCAATTTTTGCTCTTTCCAGCCGCCTCCCGAAGCCTGGTAGAGACAACAATGGATGAAAAATGCACTCACAATCGCCACAACTGCTGACACAGTTGCACCATTGTTCAAAATGATAGCTACTGCCCCGTGGGGCAATTTCGTCACTGGCCCATCATTAAAAGTGGCACCGTCGACTTCTGAGAAATAGAAGCCCACCTGGTACCTGTTCAGACAATCAAAAATCATCCCGCTCCACTTTTTAGTTACACGCACACTTATAGAGTATCACAATATTTTCCACCGTACTCACATCATATTATTTACTTTTGTACATTTTTTTTTCTATCAAATTGACAAAAAGATCAAATTTGTACCTGCATCTGATGGTGATACCAAATTCGAGGACAGACGTACCCTTCATAAAGATTTCTGACTTTTTCCAGCCTTTATCGGTGTGTTTGTGCCTTCTGACTTTAGACACGAGGCCCTATGAAAATGGTGGATTCTTTTCTCGACATTGTACGTGCGTTCTTAATCTTGTAAAATAGAAGTACATGTACTTTCTGTTGAATTGGGGATTTTGCGTCGAACGAACTTTCTTTGAACCTTGGAGCGTCCGATGGTTTTTCTATTTCCAAAAGGTGAAAGTGGTGAAAGGCCAAATCATATGCGATGTTGGTTTCACCGACATCATCATCATCATTTTGTTTGTTGTCTTCAATGAAATTTCTGAATGTTTCTTTTCAATGTTTTCAATGTTGAATGTTTCAAAAACCTGTCTCTACTCTGAGCACTGGGCACACGCCGGCACCCTGTTATCAGCCAATACATAAAGATGGTACGTATATTTATTTGGAGATGTTTTGTAACAAAAGAAAGAAAGGGAACAACTTACATGTAGTGACACAGCAGGCAAGAGCCACGGCGACAACGAACACAAATCTCTTCATGGTGGTTTCCGCTGCTTTTCAGGAGACTTTCCTTAGTGTTACGTGTGTTCTACCCAAAATGAGAACGCCTTCTGACTGATCTGATGTGGATTGGTGCGGAGGTAAAATATGGCAGGATCAAAATATTTTGTTATTCGGAACGAAATTGATTTACTACTGGTCGCGTCGAGTATATAGCAGTTCCAGCCAGTTTTAGCTTGATCAGTATAAGCTTCATAGTCTTTTCTACATACAAGAAACATATATGATAAATTATTCGTTAAATCTGAATCAACAAACCTGCTTTGAAGGGTCATCTTACATAATAGTGTAAAGTGAAGCCGTACGTATTTTGAAATTGTCCCTAGCAAGGCAGAAAAACAGGTAATATATGTTCCGGGCGAAAAGATCGTTGTTCCCACAGGTAACAGCACGAGGCTCTGAAGGGGTTTACATCACTTCAGGATTCCTTGGTCTAACTGTTTATATCATGGCAAGACCTGTATCTGTATCTTTACAGCCGGTATAACCGCCCTTCGGTCTAAACCACACTAGCTTCGCAGGCACGCGGCGCAGCGGCAGCTGACCACAAAAGACGATGCCTAAATTATCTTCCATACTAGAAGTTTACTAGAAACCCCATAGAGACCCCCTAATGACCACTCTGAAGCTCGAGGGGTAACCGGCATGATTTGCAACCATCTCCTAATTGACCCACATACCAGCCCCAGTACCAGGCTTCAGGCCAGGGACCAGTAACTTATCTTTACAGTGGAATTTACGGTGAAACCATGGTTTATCTTTGTTCAAAAACTTAATTTTTTACCCCCACTGCAAAGCTGGATTTGCCGGGTTTCTTGGGATACAAAAGTGCAAGGTCATTTTAAAGAACTACAGCCAAAATATTGAAATGATCCAGGATTTCACACCCCCGTGTCCCAGTGGGTCTAGTCGACCCGTCCAACCAGTGAGGAAGCAGTAAGGGATCAAAAAGTTACAGAAAAAACAGATGGTTTTCGTCAAATCATCTTTTTTCACCAATAGAATGTCTTAATATGTTTACTACATGAAACGAAGAGATAAAATGAAGTCACAATTGAACCTTACTGAGCTTAATCATAATGGACAAGCTTTATAAGATATGAACATCATCATCATAAAAGGAAAATGCAGTACGTTATGTTGAGAAAAACAATAAACGGCTGCGACTTGTTTTAACCCAGTTTATTTTGGCGCAAGCGGACACCAGGCTTCTCTACAGTGTTTGGTGGGCAAATAACACTATATTTCCACCAAGTGGAGTTTTCATGGAAGATGGAAACCTACATCGAAGTAATTTAGTTGTGTTAAAGAAGAATTATCGTACGTATTTGACATGGAAGATTACAAAAGACGGAAGATCTTGTTAAAATGGTTGGAAAAAAACATTTAATTTCTTATCTTTATTCTTTATTTAATTAATCAATCTTTTTAGACATTTTAGACTAGAAATTGAATTGTTAACGTCAGACTAAGCCACACGCCCCGCCCCCTGCTAATCAAAAGTGTAGTCTGTGATAGGTGGACTAAGATTACTCCTCCAGACTCCAAGGGTTAAAAAATGGTAGAAATTTTACAAAGTAGACTGAATAATGTACCAGAGGAGCTAGCCGGTCATAGAACTACAATTTGCAAATTGCAAAGTTAACGCCGGTTAACTACTTGAGTATATAATTCAATCTGTGTATATGTGGCCAATTTGTAGTATTTTTCCAGTATAAACCGTTGGAGACTGGTAGAGACTAACATCTCTCTTGTCTTGCTCAAAATTATCTATCAAAAAAGCCTACAGCAGGCGAATCAGATGCATTTGCTTTTAGCGGAAATGACGTCCTCGTTTGACGTCACCCGTCGTCATGGCGACGCGCGACTAGAAGCCCGCAGCGTTCTTCAGGAGGACGACCAGGGCGGCGGTTGCCATGGCGACGACGCTGATCCGAGCGGCGGAGGCACCCCCCACGCAGCCGTCGGTGCTGCAGCAGAATTGGCAGGTGAATATGTCCTCCGTGGGTTTGCACACGGTAGGGTTGGCTTTCCTGGCTGAAATACCAAAAGGACGCCATCTATTATCATGGATTTGTTTATTTAAAACCTCCTTAAGTGAGATACATCATGTACAGTAATTACTAGTCACGCACACACACACACACACGCACACATACACACTCACGCACATAAACACACACACACACACACACACACAAACACACACACATACACACAAACACACACATTATGTACAATACTTGATCATGAATGTAGCATTCAGCAGTATTTATGAAAAGTAAACTTACTTACTAAGTACTTGAAAAGTAAATACAACATGATATAGGAAGTATTGTATTGATGAGAAGTTGAGAACTGTTAGTATAGCTTCCAGTAATTGTAATCATATGGTAATGGTTCCAAGATGGCAAACAAAAATGTACCTGTTTCACACGCGGACTTTGTTGCACAGCGGCTGTTCCATTTCTCCCCAATGATCGGAGCCTCTGCAAAATCAAATTGACTGTTTAGACGTGAATCTTTCATTTCTATTATATAAACTGTATTCACACAAAGTTATGTGATCGCCTCCCATGCGAGGCATGCTACAGTCTGATCTAACTCAAAGGAGACGTACAATATTTCCATCCACAATATTTACTAGAGTCGAATATAATGGAGAGGTTAGGCTAAAGTTTTTTGGCCAGATTTTTTTGTCACTGGGAAAGGCAACATCAGTTGGGGAAGTAAAAGGTGCACGTGGTGGAAGGAGAGGGATGGGCTTTACCTTCCAATGGCAATGGCACCCTAGACACTGCCCCTACGGTACGGCCTCAAAAAGACTATGAGACTACAGTTACTCTTTTTGAATCTTTCATTCTCGTATTAAGATATAAACAATTAAGGAAGACGAATCGAGTGAGGGTATAGACTAGTACGAACATAATCTGCCTATGACTGTTCACACTTTTTGTCACCACCCGTCCTGTACATAGTTAAATCATTCAACCAAGCTAAGTGGACTACTAGTACTAACCAATTATCAACAATGGGAAAACTACTAAACAATGATCATTTAAAGATAGATAAGGGATGAATTGTAAAGAGGAAAAAAGACCTACTGGTTTGGGTAGTCCAGCACACGGGGGTAGATTGGGTGCAGGTGGTCAGTGACGCCTTTTCGCACTCCCCCTTGGTGTTTTTCAGTGTGCACGAACGGCACTTTAGCGCTGCGCCTGCCATTAAAACAAACATAGCTTCAATCTCACGGTGTTACAATGAACTCATGCACACACACAAGCACACAAGCACACACACAAGCACACACACACACACACACACACACACGCACACACACACACAAACACACACACAAACACACACACACACACACACAAGAAACAAAAACACCTTAATATTTACAATCATGTGCCTAATGACACCCCCAGGCGCTTAATCCGCCATACAGTCTCTCCCAGGGCCGCAGGCTAAGTTTTACCGCCACTGAAAGCTTTCAAGAATTACTTCAAGTTCGCTGCCGATTACCAGACAGAGAGTACTAGTGTTTTCATGGTAAACTCCACGTGACAACATGACTGCAAGAAGACAGTGTTCTTGACTGATTTTCGTTGGTAGGAAGACGATGCAACGTTTACCGACTCGTAATGTCACTGAAAATGATTTAACAACAAGCGAACCACCGACTTGTTGTTCATAATCTATTATAGATGCATGTACATGCTGACAGCCTCTTACCCTGGTTAATTAGCACGTCGCGTTTTTCTTTTGTCTTGAAAGTACAGTTTTCTTTCCGCCCTTGTTTCACGTTCTGAATGTTTCCTTTTACAAAAGTCAGTCGTCAATCTGAGCATGAATCGGTGCCCTGCAACCAGCAAAGACACAAGGCGGGACAACAACCGTTTAGAGACATTTTTGAACTTCTTCGATGCAGAGGAGGCAAAAGAAAGAGAAGAGACAACTTACATGTAGTGACACAGCAGGCAAGAGCCACGGCGACAGCGAACACAAGTCCCTTCATGGTGATTTCTTCGCTTTTCAGGAGACTTTAGTGGTGCGTGTGTTTTACCCAAAATGGAAACACCTTCTGACTGACCTATCCGGAATGACGATGAGTGGCAAGGTGTGGCAATGACAGGATAGGATCAAAAGTTATTCAAATTGAAATTAATTTTTCTTACTGGTCGTTTTACTACATATCAGTTCTAGCCGGCCTTGCTCAGTATATGTTGTTGTTTTTAAGTACAAGGAAAACTTCAGATAAATTCGTCAGTACACCTGGCTCCGAAAACCGGCTTTAAAGACTCTTATGAGATAATATTGTTAAGTGAAGTCGTATGTAGTTTGAAATCGTCCCGTGCCAGGCAGAAAAACAACATGTTTGGTTAAGGTAACATGTTCTGGGCGTTCCCTTAAAAACGTGATTAGCATATTCAATGCCCATTTGAAATTTTTCTACAGCTAAGAACACGAGGCTCTAAAGGGGTTTTCGATACTTCAGCTTCCCTCAGTTTGGCCGTTTTCCTTGTGTTATGGCCACAAAAACGATGTTCAAAATCTCTCTTCCCTCTTGTTCAAAATATACTTGAAGTTAACTGCAAACTAGTTTACTAGTAGAAACCATTATGAAAACTCTTTTGTTACACGCAGGATGATTTGCGTCATGATTTGTAACTTGTCTGATAATCAATCACCTCCTAGTTTACCCTTATACTATATAAATGTAAATCTTGGAATGTTCAAGGGGATTGTATTCGTTTAACCGTGACTTCCACATAGTGAATACACGACAGCGTGAATGCATGTGCTGTACTGCTACTCTTCTACAGGATTGTTTCAACCTTCTGTCGCCCGCGAAATCTGCCAGTCCCCGCATTTCTAAAACGAGCGAAGAGGAAAACTGTAACGTGCAAGGCCTATACGACTCGGCAGAGGGCGCTTCAGTACTTTGACAAAGGTAATACTAGTACAAAATTGCGTTTGTGACATTTTGGCGACGCCTCAAAGGAAGCCTAATGGTACAGTATTGTGTGCAGTTTGTAAGAATTCTAGGAATTGTACAGGAATTTTCCACAGGCATGGAATTTTGCTGACACACATCTATGCCCACAGTCCCACTTCCTGAAAATCCTTGGGAAAACCTTGCTGGGGGATGACCTACATTCCGTTATTTTTTTTTAAACAAACTCATGACAGACCATAAGGAGGCGTCCCAAAATCATGAAATCACGACCATCCCACACATACATGTGATCAGCAATGCTAGTCATTACATACTAGTAAATCTATTGGCAAGCTCTCAAATAGCTTATGACACAATATAAAAATACCACATCAACAATAAAGAATATAAACAGACAATAAAAGTCAATATTGTTGAGTGAAGTCGTACATATTCTGAAATAGTCCAGTGCAAGGCAGAAAATGATTTTTGTCAGATAATTTATTATGGGCGTTCCCTTAAATATATAATTAGCATATTCAGCTCTGTTACTTAGTCTGTTTATTGTCATGGTAAGACCGATAAGACCGCAAAGACAATGCTCAAAATTAACCTGAGGTTCACTTAAAATGACTTCAGTAGGAAGCCCTAAAATAGAGATATGAATGAGAAACGCAAGTTCTCAAACTTTATTATGTTTATCTTTGTTTAAGGAAAACATTGGTTCACCTAGATTTTTGTGTAGGCTAGAGTTACGTATTTAAACTTTGTACATTGGCATACACAACTGATGCTATCCTTTACATTTGACTAGTATGTAAAGTATACTTCATCCCGAAAGATCCTTCAGGAAAACAATACAAACTTTGTTGACTGTATTACTTGTTTAGAATTCTTAAGTTACTGAATGTATGGATTCCTTTACTAACAGTTGTACATCCCCCATTTCTCTATGTATGAATCTGTAGGCAATTACTGTATTCATTTATAATTCGAGCCCAAAACCTGATACTCGTACATCGAAACTAGTAACTTAAGCTATGGTTCTATAAGTCTTGTTTGCCATTAGTCATTACTATTATCATGTCTATTGTTATTTGCAATTAATCAGCTTTTGGACAAGAAGTTGCAATGCAGTTATCTATAATGGAAAGACTGGACTGAGTGGACTCATTCCCTAGGACGTTCATATGCAGTGACTGTGTATAGGGTGACTGTGTATAGGGTGACTGTGTATAGGATGATGTGGCCCTTTGCCCACCCATAGGTTGTTTTCTCTTGTGCTTTACCCTAACATGTTTATCCAGACATCCTTTCTGTGTAGCAGCATAGTCGCACTGGATGCACTTGTAGGGTCTTTCCCCTGTATGGGTTCTCATGTGTCTGGCCAGACTAGACTTGCCAGTGGTCCTGTACCCGCACTCCCCACACATGTAGGGTTTCTCACCCGTGTGTGTGAGCATGTGTACATCTATATGCTGTTTCAGCGCTGCAGTATGGTCGCACAGGGGACATTTGTAGGGTTTCTCTCCTGTGTGGGTTCTCTTATGGATGAAGAGCTTGGACCGCTCGATGCACATGAATCCACACTCCCTACAGATGTGGGGTTTCTCTCCTGTGTGAGTTCTCATGTGGCGGCGCATGCCTGATGAGTCAGCCGTCTTGTACTCACACTCCCCACACATATAGGGTTTCTCGCCTGTGTGTTTAGCCATGTGTTGTTTCAAGTTCTTAGGCCAGGACGTACAGAACTCACACTGGTCACACTTGTAGGGTTTCTCCCCCGTGTGGGTCCTCATATGTTCTGAGAAGTGAGACTTTTTCAGTGTCCTGTAGCCACACTGCTTGCATGTGTAGCTCTCGCCAGCGTGTTTAGCCATGTGCTCCTTTAGATTCCGTTTCCAGGCCGTGCGAAACTCGCACTGGTCACACTTGTGTGGTTTGTCATCTGTGTGCGTTTTCATGTGATCAGCCAGGTGGGAGCTTTTGGCTGTGAAGTACTCACACTGCCTGCATGAGTAGGGTGCGTCCATCACACGTTTTACCAGGTGCCCGTCTGCCTGCACTGGAGAATCCTGTACAGATGAGTCTTGTTGGTTAGGTAGGGGCGAGACTTTGCTGAAAGTTTCACTTTCCTCATCTTCCTGACTCCCAGGGTCTGTTGTCTGGTCTTCCTTGTCAGCTGTCTGCATCCAAGGATGTCCAGTCTCCTTCCCAGGATGTTCAGTCTCCTTCCCAGGATCTCTTGTCTCATTCCCAGGATGTTCAGTCTCGTTCCCAGAATGTTCAGTCTCGTTCCCAGGGTGAACAGGAAGCCCACAGCTTGGTTCTTCCATTTTAACTGCAGTCAGAATAAAGAGAAATTTTACAGATCAACAATTTAAACCTGGAAGCACATCTAGCTAGCAATCTTAAACTGGTATGATCGACCTATGCTTTGGGAAAATATATATCACTATCTATATTTAGTATTTGCTTTGCAATTTGCAAAACTTATTTAAACAAATTTATTGCCTTCGATCCTACCTCTGGAAAGATACTGTTCATTCTACAGAGGTTACTTCTGATCTTTTGTATTATGATATTGCTTGGACTCCCATGTGATTATGTCAAGCTTCCTACGGATCCATCGAGTTTTGGAGCCGTATACAAAATCTAGATCTAGGCCCGGCATCTTTTAAAGAACTACAGAGCTATGGGGAGTTGAAAAGACTGGCATTTTAACTCTCCGGCGTAATAATTCACCAAAGCGTGGGTCAGGTCAATCTAACACAATACTAGTAATGTGTTGCACCAAAAATGCTCCCGTCGCAGTCTTCACGTATGCCCCCCACCCACGTCTATAATTTTTTTTCGAAGCCAACCTTTTATAAAGGTTCATATCTCAATATAATGCCGCTAGTTCTAAGCTGCCACTGTATAAGTACGAATCAATGAATTCTTACAGTACAAAGAAGCCTTACCTGTCGTTTCAGTGCCTCACTATAAAGATATGGAATGAAAATTGTAGTAAATTTATAGATTCGGAGAAAAATTTCCGGACAAACCAAAATGGCCGACATAGACGGTGGGTCATGAGGTGAAAGGTCAAAGTTGACGCACCTGATTACCCACATGACGAACCCCATGTCACCGTTGAACTCCACGTCCTTTTAGGTTCGGTTCTGCGTAAATATGACTGTTTACGATTATACATTGGCTTATGCTTAACGTTAGGCAATCCGTTTCAATGTGTTTACATTGCAATGAACTTGGCTGCAATGCAAGGACAAGATATTAACTCCCAAACGTAAGTAATGGCATGCACTTGTAAAGATTTCGTAATGGCTGCACGACAGTATCAAATTGGCAAGACATTATGATGTCCAGTATCGTTGGCAGGTTTCCATGTATAAGCAATATACATAGAGAAGCACCTTGTTTGGATCACCGATATGCAGAAGCGCCCCCTGGCGTGTCGCCAATGTGCTGCACGTTGAAGTTTCATCTGCGCTCAGTTGAAGACAGAGGAAGAAGGTTGAAACAGTTCTGTAGAACAGTGGTAATATACAGGAGACGTACATATGAATTCACGGTGAAGTCAACACCAAAAATAAAATTAAGTCCAACATTTTAAGATTTTCAGTATAGTTGTCAGATTAGCTACAAACCATGATATAATTACAGACCAAGAAAAGCTGTAGTGACGTAAACCCGTTCAGAGCTTCGCGCCGTTAGCTTCATTGAAACATGAACTGGTAGCGTGCCAATAAGTGAACGCCCAGAACATGTTACCTGCACAAAATCGTTGGTTTCTGCCTTGCATGGGACAGTTTCAAAATACACACGGCTTCACTTAACGATGTTATGTCAGAAGAATCTTCAAAGGCGGTTTTCGGAGCCAGGTGTACTGAAGAATTCATCTTAAATGTTTCTTGTATAAAATACTATCAAGCCTTTACTGAGCAAGTCTGGCTAGAACTGCTATATACTAGTAGTAGACCCCAACCGTAACAAATTAATTTTATTTTGAATATTTTAATCGTGTCATTGCCGGCGCCACTCCTCGTCATTCCGGTCAGGTCAGTCAGAAGGCGTTTCCCTTTTGAGTAAAACATTTTAACACACGTACCTCTAACGTCTCCTGAAAAGCGAGAAAATCACCATGAAGGGACTTGTGTTCGCTGTCTCCGTGGCTCTTGCCTGCTGTGTCACTACATGTAAGTTGTTCCCTTTCTTTGTTCTGTACCCCCTGTGTATCAAAGAAGTTCAAGGAAAGATTCTCTAAACGGTAACTGACAGCCCCACCTTAGGTATGGGCTAATTACAGAGCGCCAGTGTGTGCTCACTGCTGAGATTTGAGATCGCCTTTAAATTTCTTAAAACTAAACATAAAAATGTACAGTTAAATCAGAGATGGAAAGAAGGTTTAACTTATATTAGAAGAAACCCATGACTCGCTAATTAAGTGTCCGGCTAGGATGGCATGCTGTCGGAACACTTCATACACTTTCGCGGGTTGTTAAATCATTTCCAACGACATTGTGAGTCCCTACGCGTTGGATCTTCTTCCTACAACGAAAATCAGTACAAAAGTCCGTCTTTGTTCAACTTATGTTACCACCTGGAGTGTACAATGGCTACATGGTTACATTTTGTATCCGATGATTGGAGGCATCCTACCTGAAGTAATTCTATATGGCGTGATCTAATGAAGAACCTGAGGAAGATAATTGATGTTACCTTGAAGTGCAGCGCTTCAGATACATGGTTGTTAATCGTTTCTGACGTTCTATATTAAATGTTTTAATGTATAGATAATCCCACCTGTAGCTCCTGTCACATATTCAGAACCTTCCCCCGAACACCATCCAGCCAAGTTTGGCTGGAGTTCAGGAGCAGTCTGACAAATTTAGGCCATGAATTCCTTACTATACGAATCGAATTTGAGGCAAACTTAAACCAAAAGTGACCCACGGATGCTGTTGACCTACTCCCGAACACCAGCCAGCCATGCACAAGCTAACTTACCTAACCATGGCCGAACCTCCCGTCCACTGGCACGTACACCCAAATGTTTTAACAGTAGCCGACCTCGCTGAACACCAGTCGACATTGCTCCCAGATTTTATGTCTTTTCCCACGGCATGTGTCCTTGACATGACAATGTGGTCACCTGGTGTGTCTGATGTAATGCTAATGGTCGCAACCTTTCTTTATTGGAAGCATCTCGAACCAATCTATAAGTTGCCCGCCCAGTCAGAGCTCAAAGTGTTTTTTTCAGCATACCTGTGCACTTGTAGACCATATATTTGTGTGGGAAAGGCGCCATTTTACTAGTGTACTTTATTCATATCGCGTTTAGTGGAATTCCAAGGTTTAATGCTTGGACTTGTTGCGGACTCATTTAGGATTTCAGACGGAAATTAGGTTGATGATGACAAACGGAATTAGGTTGATGATGTTCAAACAAGAAGCCAGCATCGCATATACTTTGGCACACTTTTACCTTCTGAGAATAGAAGGGCCCATCGCGTATCGGGTTCAATGAAAGTTCGATGCAAAATTACCAATTCAACAGTAAATAATCCGATTTTACGAGTACCCACCCAAAGAAAACAGGTTTCTCTGTCTTGCACGGGGCAGTCCTGAATAATGTTTGTATTCTCTTAAAGATATCTTGCCAGAAGACTCTTCAGAACTTGTTTAATGGGTTATGGCGTCAGTTTTACGAAAAACGTCGACCATCACATTTCCCCTTGTCCAAAGCCAAGTCCTAGAAGCAACGCAACACTTCACCTGCGGGCGTAAAAACTTTTCACGAATAAGTCAAATTATATCTTACTGCTGCTCCCATTCTTGACATGCATTCTGGACAAGGACAGTCATTAGTCGTACCCCCTGCGGCCACACACACCGATACGGGCTGCGAAAATCACAAGTCAGAAGTCATTATGAAAGGTCTAGTGTCTGTCATCGCAGTCCCTCACTTAGGTACCAGTAGTACTGCTGGTCGAAACTTTGCTGTTATTAGGTAGTACAAGACAATGGTTACAGTGTTGAGAGTTTCAAACAAATACATGTAGTATCTATCAATAGTGCGGCTGTTTCAGCAGTTATGGCAATTATGTGTGTATTTGCTATGCTTTGCCGTTGTAATTGCCAATGCCTGGACTGTGCAGTAGCATGATGAAGCAGTTACATAAGTCGAAACGTTTTTTTTCATCTGCCAGGCACAGCGCTGACGTGCCCTACGTGCACACTGGCGGACACCCGGGCGGCGTGCATGCAGGCGTCTCTGGTCACCTGCAACCAAACCAACCCCTACTGTTACACCATCCAGAGCAGTAGGTTATTTTCTATCGTTCTTTACAGTTTATCCCTTCCTCCTGAATGAAACGAGTGGATATGCAATATGTAGTAGCTTAATTTGCAAATATAATAGTCTAAAGAAGTCCGAAATTTACCAGATTTGTAGATCTGTCAGCATGGAAGTTCATATGAGTTGGTAAATTACATAGTGAAAATTAAACTGTTCTAACTCAAAAGGAATAGGCGGGACAAGGGGGGGGGGCGGTACCGACTTCCGACGAACTTTGACCCAGTGCTGACGTCACGTGTGACGACGAAATCACGGCTCCACAGCACTTGGGTCAAATAGCTGATGAAGACCGACTAGGGATTCGGTCAAAACTTCCGGTGAAATTTACCTTAAGTTTGAGTCGGAGAACAATTTAATTTTCACTAATGTCCAGTGTTCGTGAATATAGAATAGAATGGGCTAACTTACACGCAACCAACTTGATTTTGCAGAGACTTCGCTCACCGGAGAGAAATGGGTGAGCCGCTGCGGCACGAAGTCGATGTGTGACGCGGGTACGTGACATCATGCATGGAAACCCCATCTAAACTGGTCGATTAAGACATTAGTGACATTTTGTTTGTATGAGCAATTCTTAAATTTCTAAAAATACTTTTGTTATTTTCAATGAAATAGTTTTCTTTTTATTTATTCATTTGTTTCATTTGTCATTTAATCTATCCTTGTATTGTATTCATCCCTGGTCGGGATATATTGGCAGCCTGCATCCATAGATCTACTGTAATCGCTGGCCGGTGGGCGAGGGGGGGGGGCGATAGACTTCCCTTGCCCCACCAAATCTGCTTGGAGATTAGGCTTTATCAACATCAAAACAAAATACCTCATGTACCTTATACTTACAGTACTAGCCTCTGGGGTCCCTTTTTCCCATACGAGTACGATAAGATTACATAAAGCATCTTTTGTTTCTTCAGGTAAGATAACCAACCGCGTTGCGTGCAAGCCCACGGAGACCACCTCTAACTGCATCTACTGCTGCAACACCGACGGCTGCGTGGGACAGCCCGGATCCGGAGCGTCAGCCGCCGTCAGCATCAGCGTCATCACCATGGCAACCGCCGTCATGGCCGTCCTCCTGAAGAACGCCGCGGGCTTCTAGCCGTGCGTTGCCATGACGACGAGTGACGTCAAATGATTTCCGCTAAAACCAAATGCGTTTTATTTGCTCGCTGTATGCTTACTCTATTAACAAAAGAAATACTAGTATGTTAGCCTCTACCATACACGACTCCAATGGGTTTCTGAAAAAATACTAGAAATTAGCCAGATATATATGTGTTACTAGAGTAAATGATATACCATAGTAGTTTATTATTTGCCGCCATAGAATCACAATTTGCAGTTTTAGATTGTAATTCTATGGCCAGGGAACTTCTTTGGCAATCACTATAATTCTACTCTTCAAATTTCTACCATTATTTCATCACCCCATTGGACCCTAGTAAAGAATAATCACAGGCAACGTATTTTAGACCACACCTTTGATTTGCAGGAAGCGGGGCGTGTGGCTACATCTAGTTACTAAAATATTTTAATTAAAAAAGATATCGATAAGAAATTAATTTAAAAAGATCTTCCATCTATGTATGTGTCAACGAAAACTCCACTTTGTTAGAAAGATATTGTCATTTGATTTGCCCATCTTACACTGTAGAGATGCATAGTGTCTGCTTGAGCTGAAATAAACTGGGTTTTAAAAAAAGGTTTTTTTCTATTCTCATCATTACGTACTATATTTCATTATGGGTTCACCACACCACGAAGTGGTGTGGTGAAACCATATTGCTTTTTCTGATGTTTCTTCTTCTTCTCCTCCTCCTCCTTCTCCTCCTCCTGCCATATCTTTAAATGGATTCAGCTTCTTCATTTTAGGGCCTAAGGTCCTGAAATTTGGTATGGAGGTACAGTGGGCAAATACCCCTAGGCGTTTTTAAATTATTGTGATACAGGCTTTTAGAATGGTTTTATTTGAGTTTTTTGGCTGTGTTATAGCAAATGTATTACTGTGTTAGTGTGCAGTGTTTACCACATTTGGACATGAGTCATCACAATGGCATGCAAGGCATCAACCAATAGGCATGCAGCTTTCCTCTATTCTCCTTGCTGATTGGCTGTTGGGATTTAACTGGCTTAACTTCATTTACACCTGCACAGAGCCATGCCATACTGACAGTATGTCTGTATTCAAGTGTTTTGGTAGGTATTTTAAGCTTTCCTGCTCCAGCATTGGAATGCGGGCTATGAACGCTTCTTTTTATCTTGAAAATCAACAGTTTGCATTATGCAATCCTAACCAATAATGTAGGGAATAGCTATCCAACTGTTGTAGTCTTAGTTGTATGTTACTTCATACTATAGTTATATCAATGTAAAGCATTGTTTTCCCTTGTGTTTCTCATTCTTTCCCTGCCATGTGGTAAAATGTGGTGAACCCATCGCTATATTTGCTCCAAAGCAAATATTGGCCTTTCTAGTTTATGATTCGATTTATGATTAAGCTAAGTAAGGTTCACTCGAGATAACTATATGTTTCATACTTCTCTCAAATTCAAGACTGCATTTAAAAACACTAACTAGAGCAGCAACAATTCTATTGTACACCTATGTCTACAGCACACTGACGTAACATTAATAGACTAACAATATCAACAACGATGACTTCACATCGAACTTCCCGCCACTTGTATGTGCACGTGATGACTGAACAAGACAAAAACGCTGAGAGTGATAATGTTCAGTCCGACCCTCGTCACTCGCCAACCCCACCTAGCGACATGTCATTGAACAGTTGTGCTGAATTTTGTAGGGACAGCGTGGTTGGTATTATGCTCAAATATATAAACACACACATGCACACACACACGAATCCACAAACACACGCACAAACAACATTTCAGCGTGCCACTAGGTTCTCCCACAGTGCACATCGTTACACCGTCTAAATTTAAAAACACCGTTTAAAAACACCGTTTTAAAGTCCTTTAAATTTACAGCAACAGTTTCTTTCCCCGGACTGCCAATTATGGAACTCCCTCCTTAACACATGCTCCCCTTCCGAATACAATCCACAAGCTTTCAAAACAAACATTCGTCGCCATTTTCTGACACAGTCATACGTGTGTCTCAATGCCTAGAGGTGGTCATTTACCATTGGCCTTACATTGAGCAACACCGGTAAAAACACAAACATACACACACAACAAAATCAGCAAGCCTGGACATCAGACACGCTAGGACAGACCATGCAAAAACATAAGACAGGTGCCCATCAAAGGGACCGATATCCATTTATGTTGCTGACAAAACTATACACCCCACAATATAACATTTTGCATGGCACCCTGCGACGCTCTCACTGTTGATGTTGTTTCTAATTTTGAGGCAGACGAAGACCTAAGCAAAATAGAGCAACAAGGATGTGAGATGAAATCTCGGTGTCTTTTGTTTTTGGAACTACAAACGGCGGCTTTCTTAATAGACATTCTTCTTTGATAGTTCTGATGATTTATTCTAACTGCTTTTGAGACTGTATAGACACAAACAATGATATAGGATCACGGGTGGGAGGGTGCTCACTGGCAAACCCACAGAGTCACGTGTATGAGCAGTCGACTTGTCGTGATGACGAGGTAACTACGTCTCTAGATGAGATGAAACCTAATTATAATAAATTATACAGGCGTGGACCAATGGAAAGAGACCTGGATGTTGCCACGTAACTGGTCTGTTCTCGACTATCGTCGTTTTTTCTCGAGCTTCGGTGACTGAGCCGTGAGCTGGATCCAGTTTATACATTTTAAAGCCGTGTATCAGTATATGTTCCAACACCCTCGCCCAGACTTCCCAAAAAAACGGAGACATGTGGTGGAAAGTGTTGCTGTTCACTTGGCTGGTGTCTGTCGCTGTGTGCGGGGCAAATTCTCAGTTGGATTCCGGAACCTCTGGTAAGTGCGCACGTATATTTACGTATATATAGGGGTGATTCATTTCAGCAAAAAGGCAATTATGCACAATTCAAGTCAGAGGTCCTATGTTGTTCCTGTTTTACTGTTCCTTGGATTAGCTGACATCTCTCCAACTAGACGTGATGGTGTGGACTCATAAAAACAGCATGTAACAGGTTGTGTTAATAAATGCATTAAAATATCTTGTATTTCTAAGTCAATGCAACCATTTTAGTGAGATTAAAATCGTGTGTCTCCTTTGTAGACATTCATCTCATATATATACATATATATTTTTTTTTAACATTTCATGACTAGACAGTGCCACGACACACGTTTTTTTCAACTTATTTTATGCCGCTATCAAAGCAGACCTATGTTTTTGTATTGTTGTGCTCTGGACATCTTTGTGTGAGATGTAAAACTATTTTACCTACAGAAAATGAAAGTTGGGTAGCAAGGGACACATTGAACCGTTTCATTATACTAGATTCCATACCAAAATAACCCCAGAGGTTTTCTTAAACCTGTTTCTTTTTTCATGCAAAAAATGTACATTTTGGGATCTGGGGCCCTGGTATTACATTCGAATGAAATTTGATATGAGGATATCTTGGACACATCTTCACAGAACGTCATTTACGCCTTTGACGGACACCACTTTAAAATTGTGTAGCTTCATTTTCAATTTCAATTTTTCGAACAAAAATGTACAATTTCGGCTTCTGTGCCTTAATATTAAAACCAAAATGACCTGCAATTTGGTATGTGGATACCTTGGATATATTTCTAATGAATATGATTGCTTTTTAGACCTGATCTGATGACCTGATCCTTAGATACAAAATCGCAGCATGTTATTTACACTTTTGGCGTGTGTCACTTTGAAATTATGTAACTTGTTTTTTTGCTATTTTCACAAACATTTTTGGTTCCTGTGAGCTATCACGAAAACCAAATAACCTGAAATTCAGCATAAAGGTAGCTTTGGCACCAAACGCTTTGATTATAGTGTTTATTTTGGAACCGGGAGGGAAATGAACTGAAATGTGCTTTATTTGCTCGGAGAAAACGTCGGCTTTTCTAGTTCCAATTAAGTTTCGATTGATAAGATTTGAAACTAGCGGTTCTTTTATGTTATTCACAGGAGCGAGTGCAAACGAAGTGAGTCAAAAGCGGTCGCCCTTTCTAACAGAAAGGGAAGCAAAGAGCTTCATCAAACATTCCCGCAAGACCAGAGGAATCACTGAATTGGTGGAAGCTTTTGGTGATCGTGATCTCTACATCGAATGCTTTAAAGAATACCCGTGTTCCTATGAGGAAGTTCTCGAAATTTTTGAGGAAGACGACGACGCAGCGGTAAGCAAGCCAATAACAAAATTCATTTGACTAACGGTAAATACATTAACTAGTTCGTTTATCCGTTTGTAAAGATTAGATACCCAGGATAAAAAAAACTTGAATCAACAAGGTAATATTTTAAAGGTTTCAACTGGATAATGAGGATTTATTAGTTAAACGTAGTGATCATCAGTGAATGTTTATAAAAGGTTTTCGGAATAAGAAACAGGGTTCTAGATAAACAAAACAAGCAACAGTCAAGTTGTTCTAAAGACTGTTCTAAAACAAAAGGCAAAACAAATAAAAAAGTTCTAAAGATACGTTCTAAAAAGGTAAACAAAGAAGGTAAACTAAGCTATGCAAGACTAAATAAAGTACAGTGAAAAATACTGAAAATATACAAGCCACAAGTGTCTGAAAATAAATCCGTTGCAAAGCGCTGTCCCACGAGACTGAAAAATCAAATCTTACCCCCCACCCCGTCTATTAAAAGAGGCCGCTGAACATGCTCATAGATAGCCTCTATTATAGCCTGTGAAACCCATGCACGGGCCTAAATATGTCATGGAGGTATGAGCTTGCCGAACTCTAGTATGTAATTAAATTCATTGTTAATATACCTGAATGAAGTAACGAATCAAAACATTTTCAAGTCACACTGCACTTCTGATAAACTGCGGTTAATTAACCAGTTGAAAGTTAAGGCCATGTTGATTTGATTATATGGATGACATCCGCGCGCGCATGAATTTCCGTTTCCAAAAAAAGTTTTCAACCATACTGTAAATCGTAAAAGCAGATGCAAGAAATTGAGCAAATATATACCGCAGGTTGAAAAAAAACAACATTGAAACGATACAAAATGTCGTAGAATGCCAAATTCAAACGAGAAAGACGAAAATGTAAAGAAATGAATTTGAAGACTAGATTATTCGCCAAACCATACTCTGTGTCATTTGTTCAACCTTTAAAGCCAGGTAGATTTCATAATGAAAGCATTTTTTTACCAAACTTTTTTTTATTCGCACGCTCGCATCAGTTTTGGGATTCCCAGAGGATGCCATCCATATAATCAAATCATGCAGCATGGCCTAAAGTAGGTCTACTTAAACTTTGGCAAGTTGGTAGCACGTTTTCAGACATTCGAAGCATTTCTTTCAATTTTAAGTGACACACTGTCTCTTAACATTCAATTTCCAGTATGACTGGCTTGGTGCCATGGCTTGTAAGGTGTTTCCTTGTAAAGCATGTTTACCGTGCCCTCACCAGCCCCCTAGACCACCTTTTGGCCCAATGTGGCGAGTATGTTATGATATAGATCCTGTCACAGGTGAATATGCCAGTTTCTGTCCAGTTGAAAAAAATACGTACATCAATTTTCTAACGTTTCCCGTCAATCACATTCTGCAGTTGCAGTAGAAGTAATTTTTGTGACTTGCTTATTGCTTAAGACGGAATTTTCATAGTGATGTCTCAATATTCTCATAACTCAGTATTATAATATATGATTTTATAAACAATTTGTATGTGCTATGTTCACGCATTTCAGCCTATAACTGTGAGGTGAAAGTTGCACTGTGCAACATATTCTATAGCCTGGCATTGTACTTTTTACTTATATTTTGAAATTAACCATTTATATAGGTAAAGGCACACCACAAGATAAGTGCTCAAGTGGCGACATCAATAAGATGTACTTGCTTGACGGATCTGCGAGCATCGGCGAAGATGGGTTCGAACGTGCCAAACAGTTTATTGCGGATGTCGCCGTTGCTTGCAACGACAGCAACGTAAGTCGAGTTTCTTTTATGACCGCAAGGTCTGTTTCTGTAATTTGTCAAAAGCAGCATTAATATATTTGGTTTCGGTCATTAGTAAAAAAAAGTTTTACAACTTTTTACAACATATATTTTTTTTTAATTCCATGCATGGATAGATATATTGCTTACGTTTACAAATTTGTCGAATGTCTTTTTCACTTCATAAGCCATAGTTAACTTGAAAGAGATAAGCTTCGCGATTTGAAAATGTATTGTTGGAAAAATTCCCCGCGTCGTTAGTACACTGGTTAGCGATCCCAGATCCGTATGGATCGAATTCCGCGTATGTTGTTGGCGGGGATTCGATCTCCGGGTTGGACATGTTGTGACACATAAATCAGCCTCTGGCATCAATCCTCTGCACTTAATACATTCATTCAACATTGAAACGCGGTGTGCTAGGCTGTAAAAGCGGGCTGCAACGAAGGTGCATTGCAGTAGTAACTAAGGAAAGAGGATTGTGCTTCGTCTTGAGCATAACGTTTTGGGTCGACAGAAGAATGTTTTTGTACAGATTATGATTTTTGTACTCTTCTCTAAATAGCAGTACAGTTCATGGGGGGGGGGCTATGTGTTCAGTTTAGTTTAGTTCGCTCCTACAGAGCTATAATGTATTGTATTCTGTACTTTGATTACAGGTTGGGATTGTCCACTGTAAGTGTGAGTCCAGAACAACCGTCCCCTTAGGCAAGTTCGACGACGTCTTGGATCTCCAGGATGCCATAGGAGATGTCGACTTCATCCCCTCAACTACACGTGTCGGCTACTGCATCAAACACATGCAGTGCACGGTAAGAAGCAAGACATTATCATTTTAGTCTCTCAACTGACTCCAGCTTTGTCTTCAGCCAGTCCTTGGCATGGCCAATCTTGATAAGTTGTCCCTCCATCTTATAGCCTCTACGTCTCCTACGCTCTCATGGCGTTCATTCTGTTGTTCTAAGACTTCATCTAGTTTGCTGTAGCTAAGCTACCTGCCGTGAACTGTTTGGCTGTGTTGCTAGCCAGACATTCTGAATGAATAGCTTGAATTATACTATACCTTCTAGTTACAGTTTTCAAAATCCTTGAGACGTTATCAGATTTTGAATGTTTCCAGCTTAGTACTTACGCCATGTATTTCCCTGCTGTTTGTAGACACCTTGGCAGGATGACGTACTGCGTGTGGTAATTGTACTGACTGACGGACGGATATACGGGACTTACGATGGGAAGGTTAGCAGGAATATTGTACTTTTTAAGGTGTTGTAGTTTTTTGGAGTTTGTCAGAAAGCGCTTTCTCATAGTTTTGCCATACAGTATCCCAATACACTATCAGTCCTTCGAAAAATCCATGACAACTGTTGTATCCAGAACTGTGCCTGAGGCAAATTTATGTTTTTTAATACGCGGAGACTATCCAGAACTGTACCTGATTCGAACCCTAAACCATCCAGGCAGAGAATTAGACAGACACAGTTCTGCATTGACACAACGATTCTCTCCTGCCTAGCATACGGAGGACGTGGCCGCCATGGCACAAGCCGCTAGGGATGCTGGGATGGAGCTCTACGCAGGCGCAGCTGGGAGAAGCGTACTTTTCGACCAGACAGGACTGGAGACGATCGCCGGGAGCATGGACCGGGTCTTCAGCACCATTGATGAGGACCCCAGTTGGCTCACAGCCATCATCAGCGTTGAACACTGTAGTAAGATTGTTAAGTCATTACCATACTCCCTAAAAATACAGGTGAGCGAGTATGGAAGCCCTGGTATACAAATAGGATGGCACCCTAAGCATTTATCCCCGGTAATAATATCCGGAATCTCCACATGACGAAATGATATACTGTTTATTCGTCATGCATTTCTTCTTGTCTTTCCGTTTTTTTTACCGTATGCAAGGTTGGTGCTCTTCGACTTGTTTTATCCTACTTTTCCCCTTTTGTGCATGTGTTTTTTTTACTGCTAAATCCCCGCAATTGTATTGCTTTACTCTCTCCGGTATTCTTCGAATTCAGTGCCATTGCCACTACGAATCTTTTTTTATGTACCATCGAATGCTAACTACTGAATATTTAACCTTTTTTCTTTCAGGTTCGTGCAGTGTGCTGGCAAAGGCGATCACGAACAAAGGTAACTGTTTGGTATTTATTATCGATCTTGAATTAAACATTGGAGAAGAAATATGACATTGACAAAATTTTACTGTGCAAAACCTTGATGAGATACATGATTCTCGAAGAGTTTACAGCTATTCTAACTGTTTTGTTTCTCATCCTGTACCCTTCTCGCAGAAATAGATTATGCAAGGAATAACCAAAAACGCAGTTTCGTCAAGACAGAACGATTTGAGGCAGACAACAGAAAAGCGAATGAACGAAACGCTTTCCATTTTCTCAAAGTTATTGCCTGTCCGCATGACGGATTTTCTCTTGAACAGCTTATGATACCGGAAAATGTAGCATTGTTTACTTTGACTGAAAAAATAGAGACAGGATTTAGAGAAGTTAGTAATATGCATATGGTAAGAGGCTGATTCTACAATCCAATATCTGTCTGAATACAGTTCCCTATCCATGGGAGGATGATACAGGACCAAACGAAGGGTAAGGCTGTGTTGAGTTGTCAGTCTTCTACGTTAAAGGTTAGACATCCAGGTTACTGTGTTCATAGTCTCATAATATTGTCTTCTACAATAAACTCTTGATCTTCCTCGACTGATTTTCTGTAACTAGTGTCTTTCTGGGTTCTATTGTAAGTCAAATACTGTACTTGAAGTGTGACTTGCACAATTGTATGGCATAGTGGAAGGTTGACGATCTGAAATAAGGATTTGGACGCAACAAAAGCTTTACACTAGTAAGTGATATTTTGCCCACATTGCCCACTTAATTATGAACAATGCAAACAAGTCCATGGCATGCAGCAGCGAAGACTATTGTTACAGTATTGAACCCCCGGAAGATTTTGATCGGACATTGTCCACTCCGACTTTGAAATCAGATAGATGAAACCACTATAGTCGATAATTTTGGAAGATTAGTGACGAACTGACCGCATTTTTATTCCAATTTGCCTCCTGTGGCAGACCTTCTGAGTGCAACCGGAGGTAGTTAATTTGTGTGTGGAGGGAAATGAATTTGTTCAAAATGGGCCACATTTATGCCGGAATTCTAGGCTTAAATAGAAACCTAATTTTATTAAGTTGACTTTTACTTTCTTTCTTTCTTTGTAGATCCTGCGTTTTTGAGCCGAGGCAACTGCAGCAGGTTTGCAACGCCCTGACAACATCAGGCTGCGCTGCCGAACTGCAGTTATACCATCAAGCCTTCTGGGACAGCATTAGTGCGCTATGGAATTACACTACAGACCACGTGAGTCTACATTGTGATGATTTTCCAGCAGACATCATCTCACAGTGTAGGGAATTGTGGCTAAGGCCCCAGTAAAAAAACATATTCTTTACCCTAGAATCATCGGATAGTGGAACTCGCTGCCACTAAGTACAGTAGGGACACCCTCACTAGATAACTTTAAACAATGCTTGTGGGTCAATAAGTTAAAGTAATTCAGCCAACGTCCGGGGACAGTCTAGCTGAAACCTTCCTACATGTAATGTACTCAGTAATTATTCACGGAAATGCTCGTGTTTAATGGTTAATGTGCAATGATTACATGTGACACGGCAAACTGCTGTGTTATACCTAAGGGCGGTTATACCGGCTACACAGATACAGAAGCTGCTGCGTTATGCTGGCTATACACTATCATCTCCTTCAAATACAGAAGCAAAACAAATATCATTCGCTAGCTAAAGCCTGCAGCGTATATAAAGTAAACCTGAAGACGACCTCACTTCCGTTGACATAGACATCTCTTCACGTTGCAGCTCACCAGTATCCTGTATGATGTGAACACCCGAGTCGAAGAGCTCCTCGGTAGGCTGGAAGAGACCATTGTCAATTCATATGTAACGGTGCGTGAGACAACGGAAACCGCCATCAGCGAAGTACGAAACGCAGTCAGCAACATCATAGACGCCTCAACCAACATCGTTCCAGATCTAGCCGACATCGTCGACGGTATCTTAGAAAACATCCAAGATCTAATCTGTAGTCTTATTGATAAAGCAGGCCAGCTGTATGGGGTGGTCCAGGACTACTTTTACAACCTCATTAAAGATACATTTGAACCATTTAGAGACTTCGTCAACGATGTGTATAACTCCCTTGTAAGCACAGTGAATGGCCTGTTGAGCTCTCTGCCTTATTATATTGAATCAGAACTGGAGCAAATCTTAGAGGAGGTTAACTACATTCGACTGTTTATGTACTTTGACTGGGTGTTTGGAGGAGGGCTGGACAGTCTGATCTGCCGCTTCCTTTGGTGGTTGATTCGGCCCAACCGAATGCCTTTTACTTACCCCGTGCCTTACGAAATCCCTGGCATCCCCCCACTCCCACCTCTCCCACCACCCCCGACAACACCACCCGTAGCACCCCCACCCTACTGAGGACAATCGCAACTAAGTTGATGTTAATCCATACATATGTCAGAGTAAATGGCAATCTGTATCTGTCACATATTACCATACATATATATGTGACGTGACATTTGTGAGAACATCAACTTAAGTACATGCATAGACATGGTAGCCTTGGGTTGTTTCAGACCCATGGATTTTTTTTTCGTGCTACGGTTGACTCCCTTGGGCTTTTGTGCATGAGAGGTTTTCATTGAGCCGTGCAATACACATGGAATCTGACATCCTACATTAACTAGTATGATACTGTATTAGATACAGAGGAAATCAATGTGTATAGGATATAGAGGAAACTGTCTCAAGGTATATTAGATATAAAGGAAACTGTCTTGATGTATATTAGACATGGAGAAAACTGCCTCTATGTATTAGATATAGAGGAAACTGCCGCAATGTACTAGTATATCGGATATAGAGGAAATCTCCTTAATGTATCTTAGACATAGAATAAAGTGCCCCAATGTATATTAGATATAGAGAGAACTGCCTCAATCTATATTGGATATAGAGGAAACTGCCTCAAGGTATATTAGATATAAAGGAAACTGTATTGATGTATATTAGACATGGTGAAAACTGCCTCTATATGTATTAGAAATAGCGGAAACTGCCTCAATGTATATTAGATATACATGTACATGTAGAGGAGACTGCCTCAATGTATATTAGATAAAGGAAATTGCATCAATTTGCATTAGGTATAAAGAAAACTGCCTCAATGTATATTGAGTATAGAGAAAACTGCCTCTATGTGCATTAGATATAGAAGAAACTGTCTCTATGTGTTCATCCTAATTTTGTTGTGTCAATAACGTTCTCTAAAAATGTATCAGACATTATGACGCTTGGTGACGAAATAAAGGTGCTGGAAGAAATTTCTTTGAAGTCGAGTATGCATATACGTATATGTTGATGATTTTAGAATGAGGAAAATTATGGTTAGGGCTGCAAGTTTATTTACTTGCATATGATATTAATGTTGATTCATGTTTGGAAAAAACTAGCTAAATCGTTCTGTTAATATGTTTTTATATGGCACGTAGCGTCCCCAACATATGCTTAAATATATGAACCCTATCCAGCCGATTTTTTTTATTAGAAGCTCATCACGGATGTTACATTATCAATAAAAGCAGTATATCCGGCGATGAGGTCACCCTTTCTATAGCTAACTTAAAGATGCCCTCGAATGCCCATATTAGGCTACAGACGTATAGAAATTGGCCAAATAGATAGAGATAACTTGCGGGGGGAGTTGGTCCGTTATGGTATCTATCTCTGGCCAATTTCTACTCTTTCCAGCCGTCACCCGAAGCCTGCAGCTGCTAGAGGCTACTACTGTATATGGTCGTAACACTGAGACCATTGTTAGGATAGTCTTGCATGTGTCATAAACATGCAGAACTATATATGAAGTTACCCACTGTAGGCTAAGCAGGACAGACAGATTAACAAGACGCTGGATCGGGGCTATTTCTGTAATGTGTGGTTTATCAGGGGCCATGTTTTGTGTTTTGTATCTCTGCTGTGCTTGTAACAGGGTGCTGGATGTGAATACTGATGTGAGGGGAGAGGTGGCGCTCGTTAGACGCAGCACAACATCCGGGAGAAGGTTCGAGTCGAAAGTGGCTCATCTTGTATCCAAGCTGGTCTATTCTAATTGTTTTACGGGTAGTTATGAAAAATAAGCACTGTTTTGTAGTAGGAGTCTAATTGTTAAAAATACAATGCTTGGAAAGTGTGCCAATGCTGCAAATGTAGAAAAAAATCTGCTTGGAGATTACAGAGTACCAGGAACATTCTCGCATTGTAACGATATCTTGCACTGTGACAATCGACCGCCAGGGCACTATTGCATCAGACACGGACACTCGCCCAGACACATCCTGCAAATAGTCTCCACTAGTCTCCTTTGCAGGCTGAATAAGTAGTAGAAATCGGCCTAAAAAGAATGTAGTTGACCAGGGGAGTTGGCCCACCATAGAAGGTCCAGTATGCCTGCACGTCTGGACCCTCTATGACCGGACAACTTCCCTTGTCAGCTACATTCTTTGAGGCCGATTTCCACTATTTATTCAGCCTGCAAAAGAGTCTGTTGGAGACTAAGGGAAGCCCCTTTTGACTCGAACCCTCTCCCGGATGTTGTGATACGTTAGGCGAGCATCTACCTGCAAAAAAACACCTACCTGTTGGTTTGTAGCTTGCATGGGTAGAATCTTGCACTTTAAAGGGGTCCATGTCTCTTTATATGTTACTGACATGCCGCCTTTTATGTTTGGTGCAAAAGAATAATCTCCTAGTAGATCATACGGTGGCAGAGCCGTATCCATTGGCCAGAGGATTCACAGTCCATTGGCCATCAACAAATAATAAGAGTCCGTAGGGCACAACCCTCCTAGATGTTATGATGGCATCGGCCCTCTTTCCTAGCATTGTATTTTTTAACGAGTCGACTCCTACTAGGATAGATACTACAAAATAGTACGTGTTTTTCATACAAGGTGCGAATCACTGAGAATATGCCGGATCCCCACATCTGCTTGGGTGATAGGTCAGCCCTTTTCGACACGAACCTTCTCCCGGATGTTGTGCTACGTCGAGCGATCACCATCTCCTCTCTCGTCAGTACTCACACCCTGTTACAAGCACGGGGGAGATGTAAGACACAAAACATCCCAATAAAACCACACATTACAGCAAAACCTGAATAAGAAATAGACCTCTGTGTGCTTCAGTGTAAAATGACTTCAGGTGCACAAGAGTATTTTGCTATTGTTGTTGTGGCATGCTAGACTACCTAACTCTTAGTACTCTGGTGTTGCTTTACATGGCTTGAGGAAAGTTCCTACAGCTCATAAAAAGTACACACATGGCGTAGTGTACCGGAACGAAAGACTGTGACAATACTGACGAGGCGGGAGCGTTCTCGTCAGTTTTATTAACACTAGCTATAGCATAGGCAATGTACAAGTGTTAATTATGTACCGTACTTGTGTTCACTAATCTTTTTCTTTACTTCACAGCTACAATATTGTAGACACTGTGTTGATATTAGGTACTCTTTTGAGAAAAACACACCAGGACACAATTGCATCAGCCACGCGCGCTCGTCATCAAGATACGAGACAAGCATAAAAACCACAACATAACATTTCGCATGGCACCCTCTGTGTTGATGCTGCTTCTATTTTTGAGGGAGACGGACCGTTTCCAGTGTTTACGAAGAGCCGAGGAAGAAAAGAGCGACCAGGATGCAAGATGATATCTCGCTGTCAGTTGTTTTTATAGCTTTTCAAATAGATATTCTCCTTTGATGTGCGCTCCAGCGTCAATGGTGGTTCTGTCTGGACCTTATTGGCACAAACAATGATATTGAATCTTGCGTGGGACGGTGCTCACTGGAGGTACGTATCAGGACGACTCGCTACCGACTCGCTAAATTGTTATATTTTCTTCGATGCCTTTTCCACATCCAGATTTGTTTCTTTGCATTTATGATCTGTTATGATTTCACTTTGTTCACCATTATTGTATATAGCCTACCTTTATTTCTGTTCATATTTTGTTTGGATTCTGTCATCTGTACCTTTTGATTCTCTTTTGTTTATGTATTACTTATACTCAAACGGTGTCGTAGAAGCCCACACGGGCTGGGCGCGGGAAAGCGCACGACACGAAAATAAAGCTTCATTCATTCATTCATTCATTCATTCATTCATTCATTCATTCATTCATTCATTCCTCAACGCAAATTGGCAGCTAGGAAAACGATTTAGCTTTTCCAATATTTGCTTGAACATATTGGCAATATCCAGTCCTTCTTTTTCAGTCTAAGTTTATCCCGGATGTTGCATTACAAACAAAACTTATAGACTCAGTGATGTGGTCACTCATCCTAATTTGGAGACGCCCTCGGGCGTACATATTAGGCTACAGACGAGAAGAGACATCGCCGGTACTCTGTAATCTCCAGGCAGACTTTTTTCTTCTCTTTGCAACATTTGCTCTCTAGATTTCCTAGCATTGTATTTTAACGACTCGACTCCTACTTGGAAAGATACCACATATAAATATTTTTCATAAATACGCGTAAAAAATGAAAGTAAAAAATAAAATTTAGACCGGTTTCTACTATCTAATCAGCCTGCAAACTGCAAAAGAGGCTGTTCGAGACTAAGGGAAGCCCCTTTCGACTCGAACCTTCTCCCGGATGTTGTGATACGTTAGGCGAGCACCTACCTGCAAAAAACACCAACCTGTAGCTTGCATGGGTAGGATATTGCCCATCAAAGGGGTTAATGTCTCTTTATGTTACTGACATGTCGTTTTTTAAGGTTGTTGCAAAATAATAATCTCCTAGCAGATCATACGGTGGCAGGGTGGTATCCATTGACCAGAAGATTGTTCATTAGCCATGCACGTGGCCAATGGATGCTGTCTGGTCAATTTGGTCAAGTTGGATGCAGCGTGGACAAAAGAAAACAAACAAAAAAACAAGAGTCCGTAGGGCACAACCTTCCGAGAAGTTATGATGGCATTGTCCCTCTTTCCTAGCATTGTATTTTTAACGATTAGACTACTACTAGGATAGATACTACAAAATAGTAGTGTTTTTCATACAAGGTGCGAATCACTGAGAATATGCCGGATCCCCACATCTGCTTGGGTGATAGGTAAGCCCTTTTCGACACGAACCTTCTCCCGGATGTTGTGCTACGTTGAGAGATCACCATCTCCCCTCGCATCAGTACGTAAAACCAGCGTTCTACAACAAATTCTGTTCATCTCTGCCCTCCTTAGCCTGGGTTGTATTACCTTCATATATAGCTCTGCATGTTTACGACACATTGAGTAATTAAAAAGTACGGCCATTGTGTGACGAATGTGATCAGGCCCCAAGTAAACTATAGTTGGTGAGGATGGAGTATGGGAGCCCTGGTGTGCCCCGCCACATTTCTGCTATGGTTGCACTTAGGATTGACGACCACACCCCTCCCATCCCTTGTCTCAGGTACATGAATATTGGAAACCTCTAATATTACTAGTGTTGTGTGTTTGTGTGTGGGGGGGGGGAGGGCAGAAATCTGGCTTCGTACCAGTAACGCGATGTATATATATATCTAACGCAAACAAGTGTTGAAGTGTTGAAACGATATTTTGCACTGTGGAAAAACAAACGACCGCCAGTTAACTACTAGTGTTGCATCAGCCACACGCGCGCTCGCTCATACGTACTACGCAAAAAAACACAGGTAAAAGGACAGGTAATCACAGGTAGGATATTGCCGATCAAAGGGACCGATGTCTCTTTATGTTACTGACGTGCCGCCTTTTTGACGCTAAAGAATAATCTCCGAGCAAATCATACGGTGGCAAGGCAGTGTCCATTGGCCAGAGGACTGTCCATCAGCCTGATGATGCACGTGGCCAATGGGTACTCCCTGGTCAATTTGATACTGCCTTTGGTGGCCACTGAAAGATCTATTTGGAGATTAGCAAAACAATACAACCCACAGCATAACATTTCGCATGGCACCCTCTGTGTTGATATTGTTTCTATTTTTGAGGGAGACGTACCGTCCACAGTGTTTACGAAGACCTGAAGAATAATAGAGCGACAAGGACGTATAAGATGATATATCGATGTCAGTTGTTTTCATTGCGACAAACCGCGGCACATAAATGAAATTTTCTTCTTTGATGTGCACTTAGGCATAATGGTAGTATTATTGATTGATGTTTAATTGCTTTGTGGACAGCATGACTAGAAACAATGATATTGGATCTTGCGTGGGAAGGTATTCACTGGCAACACCGCAGAATCACGTGTAAGAGGAGTTGTCTTGCCTGGACGATGAGTTGGCCACGTATCTAAAAACGACGCAACCTAATTATAATAATCTATAAGCTCGTCATTGTTAATATTGACCAATGGGGAGAGCCCTGGGTTTTGCCATGTATCGGTCTGTTCTCGACTCTCCGGCATCGTCGTTTTTTCTCATCCAAACCGGGTGTTTTTTTAGAGTGAGCTGTGAACCAGTTTAGTGTCCACTTCACCGGGTTCTACTTTCCAACTTTTGGGGAGGTAAGTGATGTTTCATATCTTTGTAACTCAAGTTACACGCCCTTTTACCAACTGTCTTGTTATTTCTATTTTTTCAGTTTCTTACGATGCATTTTGTAGTTCTCTTGCGTCCGTCTGTCTGTAGATTAAGATAAAACTTGATTGAAAGCAAGAAGGTCTGGTGCTGCACCTTGTCCGTAGCTAGCCAAGCTGATATCCAGTCGATAGCCAGCGTACGTACGCCGAGGCTCAATATCCAGGTGTTTTACCCAACCCAACTTTGCTAAGCTTTACATGGGAAAATAGGTATCTGAATCGTAAAAATTCCCCGGGCGTGCACTCATTCGACTGGGCGGGAGGACAGCACCGTCTCGGTACCGAGCATAGACCGCCGAGCTCCCGATGGTGCTACGGTTACCAGACTAGCCGTCCAGGGTTATATGGGCCGTAGTCTAGGGAGTTAAACAATGAGGCATGGTATTTCAGGTGATACAGGTTTCGCTCTTTTTTTTTATATTCTATTCTGATTTTTCTGAGTTTTTTTTTATTGAAACATAAGGAAATTAGTACAGACAAGATGACGACGCACTCAAGTTACTCCAAATTAGAAAATATATGATCGTACATAAACTTCAAAATAGATATATGCAATCAACACAACAATTTGGGGTTGAATATAAACCTTACTTCTACGTCCCCTTAATTACCCGGTATTTCTGGTAGAACACTAGTACAGTAATTTGAATTCATGATCAAATCAAGTGCAAAACCTCTACATTCGATAAACTTAATGAAATCTTGAGTAAGGCTCATAACCTGACTCTAAACTATTTTGCTTTTCTACTCTTGCACAGACTTCGCAAACCGGAGACATGTGGTGGAAAGTGTTGCTGTCAGCCTGGCTGGTGTCTGTCGCCTTGTCCGGGGCAAATGCTCAAGGTGGTAAGTACGGCTGCTTTGTCCAAACTTTTTAACTGGAACCTAGAACAACGACGGGGTATTTTCCTATCTTTTACATCCTCTTTCATCATATTATCGTGACAAATCTTCAGACGCACGCAAAACATGTTCCTTTATTTCTGATCTGTAATTGCCACAAAAGCTAGTTTGATTTTAAATGTCAGCAAAATTTACCTGTTTTTTATCAACTTTGTACATAATTTGTTGTAAACTGTAAATAATCTAGGCTGGTAAAATGTGTAACAAGGTCTTCAACCATTTTCCCCAATTTTGAAACCGAATCATTGCATGTACATGTACATGTACGTGGGAATCGTGCTTGAACATATGCATTTTGGCTAGAAAATATCTTACTTAAGGTATAATGTCCTTGCTTAAAGCAATAGCATCTTTTAATTCAAGCCCCTTACATGCAAACGTATGTATTAGCTATTATCCAGTGTCTATATCATAGATTTTTTGCAAGAAATGCTATCATTTCCATTTTGTAGAACATGATATATTTACATACATGTTGCCAATGCAGCATGGCTCGACTGGTGATCAAGGAAAATTGTGGCAATATTCAATGTGGCTGTTTTATTGTTGGCATTACAATGTTACGTTTCTAAATGATTATATTATAAAAATTGAGATAAATAGCAGCAATGAAAAGTTAAACGATGCAACGGTTTCTGTAAGATTTTCTGGCCCTCTTGGCATTTTACTACATTTCCCCAAAATTAGCTTGGGGTCAGCCACACGACTGAAATCGTTTACAGTTTCGATGGCTTCCTCGCAGTCAGTAATAAAAAGTGTAGTGTCATCTGCCACCTGACGGACTTTAATTTCATGTTCACCATCCACTGTAACTTTTATTCCTTCTATTGTTGCCTTCCTGTCTGATTTTCATTGCTAAAATGTCCACTACTAAATTGAACAACAGTACTGAGAGCGGGCATCCCTGTCGAATGCCCCTCTGCAGTTGAAAAAAGGCGGATTTTCACCCAGCAATGTTGATGCAATGTTTGTGTACATTGTTTTGACAATCGAAATGATATTTGTACCAAATCCTACTTTTTCAAAGTTGCCAGCAAAAAATCCCAATTCACAGTATCAAAACATTTCTGGAAGTCAAGGTACAGGATTGTGCCTGGAAAATCATAGAAGTTAGAGTAATACATGACATCTTGTACTATTCGAATATTCTGGCCAGTAAATCGCGATTTTAAATAGGCTGTTTGATCCTCAAAGATTAATTTCGGTAAAACATGTTGTAGTCTCTTTGTCATTGCCATTGCAAGTATTTTGTAGTCTGTATTTAAAGAGGGTCTGCATGCCATTTTTCTTTAACCGTTATGGGCTATTTTAATTCACCGTTAATCGTTGCCGGCCCGCTCTAATTCAACGTTAATTAAGCGTTATCAGTATATTCATCGTGAAGCGTTATTTGTCTTTTAAATTCAACGTAAAACGTTATTTGTCATCCTAAATTCAGCGTTAAGCGTTAATGAATGATTCTTCGTTACGCCTAATTTTGCCTTTCAAAATGCAGGAAAATGCGTTATTGAAGGTTTAAAAATACAAAATTTCCCGGGGGAGAATGCCCCCGGACCTCCCCCCCTACATTGCTCGCGCTCGGTCCCTTCGGTTCTAGCCAGAACCAGCTTTCCCGTCAATTTCCGGAAGTTTGCGGAGAAGGACCGACAAACACTCTCAACACCATGATTTGCCTCTCAAAATGCGGGAAATTGCGTTTTTGAAGGCTTAAAAATCCTAAATTTCCCGGGGAAGCATCACCCCCCCCCCCGACCCCCTAGATTACGAGCGCCTTCGGCGCTCCGGATCCCCTCTCAAAATCCATCGGTAAAACTGGGCAGACTGAAAAATGCAAGCTGGCCGACGTCGACTCGGACTCCCCTTTATTTGAGGACGCACTCAGGGACCAGGGCAGGTGGGAAACACAGGGAACACATACCTTTAATGCGTGCTTCATTACATGTAAGATATACGTAATTTTGTCAGTGATCACCTTTTCTCACAAAGCGAGATACCAAATCAAGTGCAGCTCGAAAAAAAGCCTGTCAATTTACCGTTAAGCGTTGCCGACCGTCCTGAATTTACCGTTAAGCGTTATCGGCCCTGCTGAATTTACCGTTAACCGTTGGCAGGACCCCCCATGCAGACCCTCTTTAAAAGCAGACTGATGGGTCTCAATTTGGTTAGCTCTGTCTTGTCTCCCTTTTCATGAATCAATTGTAGTATAGCCCTTTTTTTAGTAATGTAAAGGCAATTCTGTTGGTAAGATTCAATTAATGATGCGAAGACGATGTCTCAAAAATGATTATCTGTGAGATGCGATGTGTTTAGGCGCCAGAACCCTGGTCTTCGTGGGGGGTCTGTCAGCTGTATCTTGGGGAAAATAGCCTGATGACCGGATTTCTATGAGGGACGAATGTAACATTTAACAACAGACTCCGTCAATGGTTTATGAATAAACAAAAACGTCCAGTCTACTGGACACAGGATCAGGGTTCTTTCGCCCCCAAGTAAACTGCCTCACATTAGGGTGGCGCTCTCGCCATATGTCCACAAGAATTTTCAAATTTAGCAAGTGCATTCTCGCCTGCAGTTGGAGTCACATGGCACCCGGTTAATCTGTCCAAGGTGGGGTTGTTAACCCCCAATGATAAGGTTTTCAGCATTGTTGTCTATAATCCATTCCCTTAGAGCGGTGAGAAACGATGGAAGTGATTGTTCTGTCCGCTCAGTAGGAACACATACGTTTAGAAAAGCAAAATATTTACATTTTATCATTAATTTATCAGGATGAATGTGTTCTCATTGCCGCCTATCCGTTGAAGATCAGGGCCATCAACCGGTGGTATGGATGGTATTACGATTTCAGTTTGCGAGAATTTGCCATGATGCAAACTTGCATCCAAGCTCAAAACACTTGGGTTGCCAATGCGTCACCGAGAAAGGGTTTTGTATCTTGTTCTTCTTGTGTCTTGGCCCAGTCGCAGCTTCGAATTCGGTCGTAGAGAGGCCAGTTTGGAAAAGTAATCGAAACCAAAACTAGTGCGATGAAGTACGCCAAAACCAGTTAATCAAGCAACTGGATATGATTTTGGAAACGGTCAGACGTTTCAGGTAGCATCCACTGCCTTTCGTCAGTGACACTGGAGAGTTGTCAGAAAAACAGGTTTATAAGCACGAATTATTGATTGATATACAAATAATTGAAGACAATCTTTTTGAAAGTCCAAAAGGAAACAAAAGTTAGACAAGTCAAGACAAGGATAACGCAGGTTAGTCAAGTAGCTCCTGTTTCAGATCACGAGCTTATAAGTGTTGTCTGTTCCGGAGCTGGGAGCGCCTAATATCAAGTGCCGGAGAGATCTACCCTTAGCCCCCTTCCCTGTTGAGGGCAGGGTTGCACAGTTTTATATATCAACGTGTTAAAGACATATTAGATCATAATGGATACTCCTTGTTGTGGCATTCCGAAAACTCACATTATGATCCTGAACATGTTGTGAAAATGCTGAGAAGGAGACTTACAGATATGCATATACAAACATTTTTTCATACCATGTCAACTGATAGTGGTAAGTTAAGATTTTATGCAAAATGTAAAACTATGTACAACATAGAGCGATATGTTAATCTTGCAAACTTCGAACTACGCTCAGCCATTAGCAAAATTAGAGTTAGCGCCCATCCTTTGGAGATAGAGAGAGGCAGGTATAGAAGGCTACCTGTATGTGAAAGGATTTGTAAATATTGTAATGCAAAGGCTGTCGAAGACGAAATACACTTTATCTCAAATTGTTCCTTTCATACCAACGCTCGAAATGAGTTAACTATTCAAATTTCTACAATTTATCCCAATTTTACTAAACTTACAGACCAAGAAAAAACTATTCTTCTTTTAACTTCCCAAAACAAATTACGTCTTCCATGGTTTACAGAAGAGTCAAAGTCAAAGTCAAACCCCTTAGACATAGTTTTATTAGCTATAGCTCTAGACAACTACCTTTTATCATGTAGATTTTAGTTATTTTATACTACGTTTCATTGTTCTTTTATGTTTGTAATCTGCAATTAGCCCCCCGGGCATGAATTTGCAATAAACTTCACTGTTTATATTGCCCCTCTGACTCCGTTCCCACCATCGGCTTTCACGGTCTACGATATCCGAGGTTTCGAGATTGAAAGAGTGACCCTGGTTTTGTTGTGCTCCTCACAATTGGGCTCCTCACATTTGAGTCTGTAAATGACATATTCCTTGGTGCCATTGTGAGGTCGGTCTTAAAGGTGTACCAGTTTTTGTCTAAGTTTTAGTGAGGTTTGAAATTTGTGGCAATGTTGAAGTTCTAAAAGACCCGTCGGAGTTTGCCGGATACTCCTTGGACATACGGAATAGTGTTTCTGTTTCTCTTGGTCAATGGTTTGCACTTCTATGTTTTCTTGGGCTGATCCAAAGGTTTGAGAGCTTTGTTGAAGGTCCAGTTTTGGTAGCCATACTTAGCCAGGGTATCTTGTATGTGTCTATGTTCGTCTGTTTTGGCTTGGTCTGAGATGATGATGTTGTCATATGCGGGATCTGTAGAGAAGCGGGTAGACGTCGCGGGAACTGGCGACGGCACGAACACGAAGGCGAACCGGTTCACGCGTTCATGACGACCACTGCCTCAAACCGTTTCAGACCACTTCCGGATTAGAATAAAACGGATCGAAACAGATTCCATCGTTAATGTTCACAAAAGTCCAATTTATCCTACATAAACGAATCCAGCCGTCTTTTTGATTTTGGAATATTTTCCTGCAGCTGACCCAGTCGGTTGGTGGCGATTGGACGGGCAGACCGGAGCAGTAGACGTAACAGGAAACGGAAATGACGGGGTAGCAGTTGGAGCCCAGCTAGCCCGCGGTCCATACGGGGACCCGGAGGGCGCTTTCGAGTTTTCCGGGACTGCAACTTCCTACATCGCCATTCCCAACAACGGCGCGCTGGATGTGCGGTACTCCTTCACCATTCTGGCCCACATATATCCTACAGGTGATGCCGGATCGATCTTCAACTACGTCGGGGACAACAATGTGCATGGAGTACATTTTTGGCAGACGACTCCACAGGAGCTGTTCATGGGGTACGTTTATAGCCTTTTATATAGTCTCTTCTAGCCTCATTTCACTCATCTGCTTCCTTTTTTCACTCAGCAGAATTCAGAGCAATTGTTCATGAGGCAAGTTAAATATATTAACCTGGTATACGTATCCAGCTAGCCTATTCTAGCTTCATCTTACTCATCAGATAGAGAGAGAAAGCGATTAGAGGAGCTGTCTACCCACGAGACCAAGAACATTTACTCTTCAAATCGACGACCTTTACGATCTTTCACATCTAATCTCACGTGTCCGACCGTTGTGGCACCACAAATGATTTGACCACCAGTTTTCTCTACCCTTCTCGGTTTTCTGTTCTTTTTAACATTTCACTCAGTGTCATGCTGATCCATTCTCTGATTTTATCCTCCTATCTTTCACGCATACATCTATATATTATACATAAGTTCTGTATCATTTGCCATTTGTTTTTATTTGTCACCCAGCTACCATTTACAACCATCTTTATTACTAGCAATGCAAAACTCAATTACCACGCTTGAACTGTTTTTAATGAAAAATAAGAAACAAATAGCAAACACAGCATGTTATAAAAAAGGAAATCACACCAACAAGAAGCACGGATCTGTTTGTATGTTTGTTATCCTTCGCTTCTGTTGACAACTGCAAGATTGTAACTGCTGTCTATTGCAGGACGGCTGGACGATATGGGGGTTTGCCAGATCCCGTTACTGCGGATGTGCTGCAGCAGAACGCCTGGAACTACGTGGGTGGAACCTTCGACAGTCCCACGGGGGAGGCAAAGCTCTGGCACAATGGTATAATGGTCGGGTCGTTGTTGATCAGTGTCTTTGAAGTCGCAACTCAGTTCCCCGTCCGGGTGGCGGTGAATGCCGACGACGGTCGGTTCTTCCGCGGTTGTATAGCCTGCATCCAGCTGTACAACTACGCCTTGACTCAAGAACAGATTCTCGCAGCACGGGATAGGTGTTTTCCAGGAGGTTTGTATGCACCTCGACTCTATAGATTTTCATTATTTTTGAGGAAATTCTAGATTAGTCCTGTTTATTAAGATGAGACTGTCATTGGATGGTATGATCAAGTATGATCAAGGTATGATCAAGTAATGTTACCTAGCCTTAAGTGCATCTGTACAACGGGTATGCAGGATCTGCAGAGATACTGGAATAATTTGAACTCCACACGCATATGTTTGTTGTCTGCAGCTCCAGTCGGTTTGTGGCCATTAAACTCACTGTACGGAGCGACAGACGTAACAGGAAACGGAAATGACGGGCTGCCAGTAGGAACCGGGTTTGCCCCTGGTCCAAGTGGAGACCCTACCGGCGCTTTCCAGTTTTCTGGGACTATAGATTCCTACATCGACATTCCCAACAACGGCAAGCTGGACGTGCGATACTACTACACCATACTGGCGCAAATATATCCTACAGGTGATGCCGGACCGATCTTCAACTACGTCGGGGACAACAATGACTTTGCGGTACATCTTTGGCAGACGAGTCCACAGCAGCTGTTCATGAGGTTAGTTTATATATCCAGCCAGCCCATTCTAGCTTCAGTTCGCTCATATGTTTATTCAGAAAGCTATTAGATGTACCTAACCACAAGACACACCACTGTCTAACCACAAGACACAAAACATGTACTCTTCAAACGGAGAACCTCCACGATTTTTCACATCTCATCTACCCTTTAGCCTAACTGTTAGAGCACCACGTTGGGGCACCACAGATGATCTGACAACCAGTTCTCTCTACCATAGCTTTTTGGTTTTCTATTCTTTTCAATGTTTCACTTAGCGTGATGCTGATACAATCTCTGATGTTATACTCCCATCTTTCACATATGAATTTATATATTTTACAAGATATTATTTACCATTTGTCATTATTTGTTACCCAGCTCCTTTTTATACATTTGTCACCCAGGTCCACAGTACTGGCTTTGTCATCCTTTAAACTGTTTTTATACAAAATTAGCATACACAGAATGTTATGCAAATATTATAAAACCAACACGAAACAAGGCTCTGTTTTTATCTTGCTTCGGTTGACAACCGCAAGACTGTAATTACCGTCTATTGCAGGACGGTTAGACGGGATGGGACTTGGCCAGATCCCGTTTCTGCGGATGTGCTGCAGCAGAACGCCTGGAACTACGTGGGCGGAACCTACGACAGTTCCACGGGGGAGGCAAGGCTCTGGTACAACGGTCAACTGGTCGGGTCGTTGTTCATCGATGTCGCGGAAGTTGCAAGTCAGTACCCCGTCCGGGTGGCGGTGAAGGCTGATGACCCTCGGTACTCTTTTCCAGTATTTGTACCCTAATAACTTGAGCATACTTGTTCCTATACAGTTTATAACCATGAAAGCATTTCTATCCACAGGTACATCTAAATCAAATCCAATACTGGATAAGCTCGGTGCAGTACCTCACTCCCACCCACCACTCTCAGTCCATCCCTATCTAGACTACATTTTTTATGAATTTTGTTGTTTTAGCTTTGCTTTGGTTTTTTTTTTTACCTAGGCAACAAAACCAGAAATGGCCTGGCCTATAGCTGTAAGCGCAAAAACACAATTATAAACCTCTGCATTATTCACCTTTGCCCAGGTACTTCCAAGGCCGTATAGCCTGCATCCAGCTGTACGACTACGCCATGACGCAAGAACAGATAGAAGCAGCACGGGATGTCGGTTGGTGTCAAGTTAAACCAGAAGAAGAGGTCCCTCCTCTTCTTCCTCTTCCAACGCCTACCCCAACGCCTACCCCAACGCCTACCCCAACGCCTACCCCAACGACTACTCCAGAGACTACAACACGTAAAAAACCTTTACGTTGTTTACATACCAGTATAGCAAAAAAAAGTATATGTATACTATGTATAACCATGATATTATCTTGATGTATATTGCATCAATATGGTCTATCTTTAATTTATTTTGGGGTTATTACATCTTTAATCTCATACAATTTGTTTTCCTTTAGGTGGATTTTATTAAGCACAGTCAGTGAACTGTCAAGTTATTTATCTAGTAGCAGAGTGTGATTTGTCTTTGAATAAAGCTAACATCGTTTGGCGAAGATATAGAATTTTTGTCGTGAAAAGTTGGCCAAAGTTCTGAAACTCTAGTTTCCTTTATGTTTTACTGCGTTTATGTGCAGCTCCCAACTGGGACATCACACTGATTATCTTGGTTGATGGATCCTCGAGTGTGGGCAGAGATGCGTTCCAACTTGCGAAGGCTTACATCTCGCATCTCATTGAATGTCTTGGATACATCAATGTAAGTGTCCTATCCTTGTTTCACTACAGGTTCTGTTTCCGGAGCTAAGAAGTCGCACGTTTTCTCTCCATTTAGTATAACATTCATGATGTTCGTACTCTCCAAGCAGATTGTGTGGGGCAAGGGCTAGGGGAGTCTATATTGGTCGCCTGTATCCATTCGCCTCTTGTTACCACTGGCCGCAATGTATATGTCAGAACTTTTTGTTATTTTTCTGTATGTCCATAGAGAAGTTGGAATAAGATATACCAATGTCAATAGATATCTGCTATGAAGTCATTTCACAATGAACACGGGCATCTTCTTGTTCTTCTTCCGATAAGGCCAATCTGCCGAGAAATCAGTAATAACTGGTATGTTGCTGGGAAGTTGTTAAAAGTGCCTTTCCTAAGAGCACAACTGGGCATGTAGAATCGAACCCAGGACCTATGGGCTCCGGGTCAAATGCCCTACCATTACGCCATACGACGCCGACGTTCTAGGTTGTACAGATTGTATTGTTCACAAGTAAGGATCCTCTTTTAAATAGCACTAACATTTTTTTTGCTGAATGGTCTGAATCAGCATTTCTTTACTGTGTTGTATACAGGTTGGGTTGGTGTACTGTAAGTGTGAGCCCAACACCAGCATCTCCTTGGGTGAGTACGACAACATCCCAGATCTAACGACGGCGGTGGAAGAGGTCGAATTCTACCCCTCTACGACACGTGTCGGCCACTGTATCCACTACACGCAGTGCACTGTAAGTACAACTTATGCATTGGAGAAATTTGCCTTTTGTTCACATGTATTTACAGTTAAAACTACTACTTTCTCAGTCCTCCACGGACCTTCGTAGCTCATTGATATCCTGCAGGTTTGTATCAAGTTTATCTGTTTGTAGATCTTGGTACAACTGTTGATTCGTTAGTTTTTGCTGTCATATATATAAGAGGTGCGCAGCATGCGAGTGTAGCAGCCATTTAACCCTTTCATTTACAGTTAAAGGTGGATAAAATCTTAGGACTGGATTATGGAATGCGACTCCATTCAAGTGTCATTGTGATGTAGGTGATGTTGAGAATTGGTAATTAATTCTGGTTATATTTTTCCCTTAACGTTTTTAGACGTATTGGCAGGATGACGTGCCCAGTGTTATCTTAGTGTTCAGTGACGGACAAATCTTCGGGTCTTACGGATGGGGTGTAAGTACATGCGGGCACATTGTATAACTAGATTGGATTGTAGACGGCAATGGTCAGTAAATCTGCACGTGGTGAGAACTGATTAAATTGCAAAACATCTGAGCCTTTTCACGATTGGTGCAGTTTCCATCCTTTCATCTCGTAAACTATTGATAATAGCATGACAATAGCACAGATAATGCTCAAGCAAGATATAGAAATGTACATTTTGTTGATTCCAGAACATTTCGCCGGTAACTAAGACAACGTTCCTCCTCCTAGCCTGGTGCTGAAACCTTTTTAGCCCCCGAGTCTCTTTCGTCCTCTCCAGAAATAATTGTCGAGAGCAGTACGAAAGAGACTCGGCTGGTAAAACAGGTTTTGACACCAGGCTATCTTTCTCTCTGTCCAGTATTACGATGATGTGGCATTCTTCGTCCAAAAAGCCATGAATGCTGGGATAACGATTTACGCAGCCACTATCGGGCGCAGTTTCTTCTGGGACTGGTGGGGACTGCTGGTCATCACTGGCGGCGACGACTCGCGGGTCGTGGACACCACCAAGGAGGACCCCAGTTGGCTGATCACCATCATTACCATCGAAAATTGCGGTAAGAGAGTCCACTGCGTTCACCTTATCTATCTTAAGTCTAATCGTTCGACGGATGAAGCACCACAGCTCCATAAGATCTGGCAACCAGTGTCCTCCACCCTTTTCAGTTCTCTATTCTTCTAAACGTTTCAATCGTTTCAATCCTCCCATCTTTTCCGTTATCCACCTCTTTCTTCCTCCCTGGACTTCCTTGCATGATGGTTCTGGATAGTCCTAATGACAATCACACGTGGCCACTTTTTGTTTCTCTACTTTAGTTAGATTGTCTTCGTAAAAGCTTAATGTGACTTAATATTACTTAATACTTAATATGACTGCATTTCAAATTCAGAATTAATCTATTGAAATGCATTTTGATCATGAAAACATCCACTGGGTCCCCAGACTCAAAGCGAAATGTTGAATCAACAATAGCTGCAAAATAATACTAACATGTCTAACTCATGTTTCAGGTGTATGTATTCAGCTGATAAAGGTGATCGAAATCAAACGTAAGTGTTCAAACAGTTTGATCTTTCAGTATTAGTACAGAACTGTTTGGCAACATTGGAAAACAACATCTTCACTTAGTATTCTTTCATCATAGGAGATGCGACTATTGAAATATGTCGTTTTTTAACCGAAATTTATGCCCTGGTCTGCAGCATGCACTATCTCTGTCTGTGTCAAAGACTGTTAAGTACTAAGAATTTATGTTATGTATACGAGTTGTTTTCTATTCCTTTGTATAGGTCCCTATCCATGGGAGGAGGATACTGAGCCAAACGAGGGGTAATTGTTTGCTATTATTTTTACCGAAGAAAACATATTTTTTTGCTCTTTTCCTCTTCTCCAGACGTACACATAAGGTCAATGACCTGGATCAGACGTCTACTACCATGGTAACATGTGGTGTCTGGTTACATAATGTAGCAGAACAGAGTTGGAGAGCCTGATCACCATACATGATTGAATGTATTTGGCTTTGAGTAAGAATAAACAGAGCAGTGTTTTGTTTGGCTAGACCTTGTGAAGGTAAACATTACCTAGTTACAATTTAGAACGCAATTTAGGGATGCCATTTACCTAATATTTGTGTACGTAAAATTAGCCTACAATTTGTTTCCCCTATTGAAGATTTTATGTGTTAAGATTTTCCTTTCCTGGCCACACCACTCCTATGGTAGCTGTCCACTGGTCAGGCATTGTTGTCCGAATGGCGCCTGTCGTTTGCCATGGTGAGTAAAAGCTTTGATGGCTAGTTTCCATGGTGTCAGAGGATCATGAGCTCCTATTGGACTCCTTCCTTGCCTCCGTACATTAGACGTAACATTTTCTATCTTTTTTTTTTACAGAGAGTGCAGTTTTGAGCCCAGGATTCTTCAGCAAGCGTGCAAAGTCTTCACAACACCCGGCTGTCTCCAGGATCTGATGATGAACTTTGCAGGCTTCTGGGACAGTATCGGCGACATATGGGCTGATGTTGAGGAGAGAGTGAGTCAAACGTATTTCTTATGTACTTTCTTATGTATTTCATTTCTCCATTCACACACTAGTCTGGTACACATACGGGTGTTTTATCGGCCCAGCAGTAAGGATATAAATTTTTATAAAGTTTTATGCCCCAGCTTTTCCGGCCGGCCTTTTTGAATGTTTATGACATTTCCATGAGTGCAAATAGTTTCAAACTTGGCCGTTATTGGCTAATTGTTAGTGTAGGTCAGCAGCCATCTGATTGGTTTCCGCTAGAAAGCTAGTAAATATATCATATAGGAGGTGGGGTAACACCCCCAGCACCGTAGAGATACTGAGATCATGGTCATGGTTCAGCTCCGGATGATAGAAGAACTTAATTCCACCACAATTGCACATGGTACAATGTATGGCAATTTAAAGTACAAAAAAAAAACTATAGAATAAGACCTACTAGTATAGATATGGTTACCAGGTTAATATTTACTCTCAGTACATCATATCCGGCTGCCATCAATTAGTTCTGACTATATGCCCGTTTTTTTGGTAACGTCGAAATCTCTGTCTGACACAGACGGGAAGCTTCATAGACGATGTCGAAAATGGAGTCGAGGCGCTCATCAATGGAGCACAAGACGCCATCAACGCGGCAGGAGAAGTGGTGCGGGACGGGGTCCAAAACATCGTCGATAATGTACGGAGCACCGTCAGCAGTTGCAGAATTTCCGCCCTGGACATCCTAAGCCAACTCGCTCCCTTTGTCAATACTGTCAGACAAAACATCCAAGATATAATTTGTAACATCATCAGTGATGCAAAGGAACGTCTGATTGACGCTATTAGTGAATTTTTTGAGGGGTTAGTGAAAGACGTATTTGACGTCTTCTGCGACTTTCTGGACGGCCTGATTGACGCTCTCCAAGCTCTGTTAGATGCCATAAGTTTTATTCTGCCTCAAAGTCTGGAAGATTTCTTGAATAATCTCTTGGCAAAAGCCAGGCTTCTACTTTGGCTGAAACGTATCGCCCGGCTTTTCGGAGAGGGCATTGGGTGGCTCCTCTGCCGCCTCTTCTGGTGGCTGATTCGGCCTTTCGTACCACCGTTCATTTACCCCGCTCCCTTCCGTCCCCTTATACCATTTATCCCGCCCATTATAGGCTAACTCTTATTGCATCGTTAGGGCATGGACATCACCATCGGCGTTTATATACATATGTGCATGAATACACAACTGTCGGACAATAAGAAAGGGGTTTTCCACACCACTTAAATAAGCATATACGACAAACCTGCACGGGTGCGGGGGGCAATTGGATCCCCGGTAAAGTAGATAGGATGGCATTCAAACTAAAAGACAACTATTCACAACTGATGGGAGAGACATTGTGCACGTGTATATCATCAAAAACTAAACATGCAATAAATTAGTATTTATGGGAGTACAACTGATTTGGAAAGTACGAGTAATGTTCATTTTCATTTTTCTCTCGGTATTCATACATACACATGAAAATATAAACCCCGTTGTTGTTGACTTTCCTAGCACATGGCCTTGAGTTTGATGATGAGGAACGTTAAAAGGATCACGAGCTAAGGACAAACGGATTTCAAAAATATTTCACTCTTTAAACAGGTTTAAACTTTTGAACTTATATTTTTCTCCTTTCAAAAATTTCTCATTTGTGCATGCCTTTGGCAGAGGCAATAATTAGACCATAACAAATGGTCCTTCCGTACAGATTTGACCAGTTCTACTGCAACATTAGTTCATTTTTGTTCTTTGTCTTCACGTCAGCTTGTATAGGGAACACAAGCACACAAAATCTAAGACATGAAAGCCCTTGATTAATATAATTATGTAAAGACTTTCTCAACTCGTTCAGAAATCATGTCTCTTTCCAAAGGATGTCAAACTCTGTCAGGCTCAAAAGAAGTCTAATTCAAACGGTATATTTTAACATGTTACCCTAAAAATGCTATTAAATTATACTGTGGATACACAAATACCTTGAAGTGTGGGTTGTACCAAGGACATGCAGATGAAGTTAATGAAGAAGATAATCAAACGGCTGTACCGTAGAGGGTGGTTTTTACTAAAAAAAATATTAGAATGGAAATTCTTTTAAACGGCACATTGGGGGTACAATCTGAAAAGGGAAGATTAATTGATTTTCAAGCAACATTCAAGACACACTATGCAAGCAAATGATGAAAATGATGAGATTCAAGATTGTAAGCTCTCGGCAAAACTACAGTTCGGCCATTATAATGTATGAAGTGAACATTTTGGTCGTGTTATTTAATATGACCAAATTACTTGATTGAGGAAACGTAAAAAAACATGGATGACTGTGTCTAAAAACATGACGCACGGTGTTAAAATAAGATTAAAATTTAACTGTAGAATAGTTCAACAGAATCTATATATCCATATGATGCTGCGCTTAGGATGTTAAGGTTAATGTAGGTTTCCCTATACTTGGGAAACAAGAGTTCATTACCGAGGTAATATCATATCTTAGGTCATATAGATATACATATAGATGTTCTTCAGAAATAAGATTTAATACTCAAGATCAGTTCTTACGTAATTATCTAAATGCTTAAAGAACAAGAATGTGAGAATGTAAAGATCGGATGATAACGGCAGAATAAGGCAAAAGCATTTTGGTGATGTTACGAATTACAATAAATTAAAACTCAGATAACTTTAAGATTTAGGTGGTGATACTAAATACTGTAGAAACGGAAAGGTTTAAGGTATAAGTATTAAGACAATCTGATAAACAAAGTTGGTTAGAAACATTTAGGTTATGATTCAACAATTTAATTTGATTCTAAAAAAAGTTATGATTATTCCAATGTTTCAAGCATTGCAACCAAAAAAAGAAGAAGTGTTTTCTAACCCTCGAAATTATCATGATTACAAAATTAAACGAGTTTTTGGCTTGATACAATATTAAAAATGTTTCAAAAATATTTCAAATCAACCCAAAATGTCTACAGTTTGGTAATATATGTATCAAAACATACCTATAAATGCATCTGCTGATTACTCACAACTCAAAGTCAAAATGGTAATACATTTTGTACACAACAAAATCTTGAGTTCATAGAAAAAAAGGAATCTAAAAGGAGAACACTTCTTTCTGGAGTGACTTGAATAGAATTGCGATACCATAATGATCTAAGTAGGTAATATGAATAATATTCGGAAAAAATAATGAAAACCTTTAATTCTTCCCTGCCCAGCTTTTTAACATTTTTGGACTTACCACCAAACGAAACATTTTGAACATGTAAGAGAATCAAATTATAACTGAGATTTTCAGCATCGAAATATCCTCTGCAAATTTTGAAATCATCATGCCAAGGCGTATTAAAGGTTGCATTACAGAATCAATAAACAATGAACTAAAATGTGAAATATTTATCGAAACATTAATAAACCCATGTAGCGCTTTTGAACGTTGGCAGCGAAGAATTAAAGGTAGTAGCGTGATATGAACATCACAGTTTTACATATTTGAAGAAAGAACACTTTAAGGCAGGGATCATGCCATAAACGTTATGTAGTCAACAAAACGGTAAGTCTTAACTTTTAAACAACGATACAAATTCAGGGGCAAATATTTTGTTCATTTTGTTGTAAAGTCATTGAGTAAGGGTTTGAAAGAAAACTTCATAATTTTGACATAGGGATTTTAATGTGAGGGTAACGTTTAAAAGGGACCAAATTATGCAGCCTGTGAGGCTCACGTATTATTGACGGTGTTAAAACAAGTTACTGAACTTCCACAAGTATTAATTAAAACTGACAAAAATGTAAAATCAGGGCAATTTTCAAAAATTAAACAAACGAAAATTGTGTATAAGACGAAACTATCTTAATGTGTTCATTCTACATATCATGATATAAAACAATCAGACATTATATGACGCTTATTGGTGGCGAAATAAAGGTGCTGGAAGAAATGTCTTGGAAGTCTGTGTTTATTCTTTTAGTACAATGAAAGTTATAGTGATTTCAACTATGATATAATGACAGTAGATTTGTAAAAATAATTCACACGAATATTAATGTAGAGTGTTCCCTTTAAATTTGATCTTTTACTGTTGACTTTGTTATTTTACTTTGAAGTAATAATATATAGTGCTGTGGCCCTTCTGTTCCAAACTTTAAGAAATATATACGATTGTGTACTCGCACAGTATTCCAGCGTTTTAGAGGGAGGGGCCAGTCATTCATGATGTGCAGAAAATGTTTTAATTTGTACGATATATTTATGGAGTTTTTTCTGGCACAGTTTTCTGGTAAGGATGAAAGAAAGAATGTATATTTTAAGAATCTGTCCAAAAAGTGATTTCTTCACTGGATGGACTGACCCACTTTGACAAGGGGTGAAATCCTGGGTATCATTTCAATATTTTGGCTGTAGCTCATTAAAACGACCTTCCACTATTTGTACCAAAAGAAACCTGACAAATCCAGTTTTGCAGTGGGGTAAGACTTGAGGTTTGAAATAAAGGAAAAATTTATTTTATAAGTGCTTGTTTCTAGTGGTTTTAGCATAGAATCCCAATGGAAAATCCAGATAGTTAGGATGTGCAACGTAGGAAGAAATCCGCTAGATGGCGCATCAGCACCAAGGACAGGTCAAAGGTGATCCAAGATGGCGACCGCTGAACAAGCAAAACAGGTGAGGTCCTATAAAACTTTGTTTTTCTCACCAATGGCACGACTGAGAATAATTCCCTTTGGTGAAAGACCTTGTAACAGATTTATTCATACTAAAAACAAAAGAAACCTCACAAATAAAGCTCTTTAAGCCGCTTATCAACGTCCAAAGGCACACACGCCCCTCTACTCTGGAAAGATAGAGATTTCGCAATCTTACATGTACTCCAAGGAGCTTCAAAATAGTTTTTCAAGCTACTTTATTGCTTTTACATGCTCAAAACGTAAAAATGGCACATTATCAGACGTCACCTTTTTGTACAGCTGTCATAGAATTCCTCGGTTCTTGTTTTATTGAGTTTTTTTTTGATAAATTACCATCTTGACATGAACACAGTTTGTTTACTGACCCGACCACGGGGTCAACTGAATGCCTACGTGACAGAAAACACATCCTGGCCATCTTGTCTCCAAGCAGATGTAAGGATGAGGGGAAGTTTTTGTAATAGTAGTATTATTAGTACATCCACGTTTACCTTTTATATAATAGTACTTGCTAATCAGTACTTGCAATAGTACTTGCTAATCAGCTAACTTTGATTAAATACCTACCAAGTTCTAACCATGCAACCACCAACTAACCATCAAACCAATCAAGAATTATTGTCTTAACCGGCTCGAATCAACATATTTAAACCGATCAGCCATCCATGAAACCAACTGAAAACATGTGAAAATTTCCCTCTAAAATATAACTTGTCTTCCTAACCCTGCCTGTATCCCTTCTTCCTCCTCTCAGTTCTACGAGCAGGGTTACCTCATCATCGAGGACTTCCTGACGTCAGAGGAGGTGGATGAGGTGCGGGCGCAGACGCAGAAAATCGTGGAGGAGCAGCACAACTCACAGGATCACCCACTCACCACCTTCATAGGTGGGAAAAAGGTAAATCCCCCAAAACATATTCAAACACCTACCTCCCTACCACTCCATCGCATATCAGCTACTGCTGAGGCGAGCCATCATTGTTCTCCATCTGCCTCTATCTTGCGCGGCTCGTTGCGTCCCCTTCCACTCGCAACCCATCACTGCAAGGTCTCTTTCCACTGTTTTTCTCCACGTCATACTAAAAAAATGCCCGCCCCTCTTCCTTTTTCCTTGTGGACACCACGTTAACACCACTTTTGGCAGTCTTTGTCTTGGCATTCTAGATATTCAAACACCTGGCAACCAAGTGTAACAACAGTAGGGTTTAAGCAACGCTAAATGACCCATTCCGATGGGGTCAGGACCTTTTGGGGTAGTTTTTAGCATGCTGGTGTCGTAAGCTAGCTGCCTGGGTTCGGCATGGGAGTCAGGGGTTTTCCTGTTTCATCTCGCTCCTATTTGTTTCACAAGGTTGGCTGATGTTCGGGAGCAGTCAGACAAGATTTAGGCCTTGCCTACCTTTCTATACAAATCTCTATTACACCCTGAGTATGATACTAAGTATTTGAGTCATGAATTTATAAGTCAACTCACACCCTCATCTCATTGTTATGAAGCAAGTCTGAACTGTACATTTTGTAATTTCCAACACAAGATTTTTTTTCTCCAAGCACAGCAGACAACAGACAACTACTTCATGACAAGTGGAGATAAAATCAGGTTCTTCTTCGAGACGGATGCAATTGATGAACAAGGTGAGTATTTGGGACTGAAATATGACGGGTTTTCGGATTTTGCATGTACTTTACTGATGCGAGCAATCGCCATGTCCTCACGGTAGGCAAAAGTGGATAATCTTTGGCTGATTTGCGTACCAATAATTTGCATGTATATGTCTTCAAATAACCGATAATTTGCATATGTCTTCAAATATTTTGTGTATGTATGATATAAACAAAAATTTCATTTATGAGTCTGGTTTGAAAAGTTGTTTGGAATAAATGTCTAATCTTGCTCTCTATCTCATGATTCATGTATTTTAAGAATTCTTGGAAGACCAAAAATGTCATTCCAATTTCTGATGTATTTGTGTGAATCTACTTTTAGTAAATCTTATTGTGTACTTCTGAAAAGTTCTGTTGTTGCCTTACAGGCTTATGCACTAAATTTGTTTATTTATACTTCAGGAAATCTAACAAAGCCAAAAATGGAAGCTCTCAACAAAATTGGCCATGGTGAGTGTAAAAATGTATTTTTTCTTAATAGTATGCATTCTATTGAACAGTCAATGTACAGTCTGCCTATCTGTTGCAGCCATAGATAATGTAAACATTATGCTTCCTGGAGATTGTGTTTACATGCACATCCACATAAAAAATTATGGATATTTTTTTTCATTTTCCATATAGGGCTGCATATTTTAGACCCTGTCTTCAAGAGAGTCACCTTTAGTGAGAAAGTAAAGGTGAGAAACTGTCTGTGAAAAAGTATTTCTCTAAATATGTGGACCTTTCTGTGCCTTTTATGTTGATTTCTTCTTCTTTTGCTTTTCCTTTTGCTGCCTGCTGTAGGTAAGTTGTGAGATGTAGAGATCTCAAGTAAGTAGAGACCTGTATGTCAAATCTGGAATGTGTGGTGTTACTTTGTAGTTAAATGATACACAATTGTAAAATTTGCCAGTCATCTACAAACAAAGTTGTTTTTTTCTCCAATAAACAGTATAGGATGGTACTAGTACACGTGTTATACCAGGGTAGTGCATACATGTCATAATACCCATACTGTCTACTAACTATAGTTTGTTTTCTACTCTAGAATATTGCCAGAAATCTGGGTCTTAAGAATCCTGCTGTTCCTCAAGGCATGGTCATCCTCAAGGTGAGAAAGAAGATTAACTTTAAGGAAACATTCTTTCATTACATCTTTACTAAAATAACCCTTTTCAAATTGTCGTACATGTATTTCAACACAAACAACCTTCTGCTTACATTACCGCATTCTATGAACAGTACTATAACTGCTTAATTGGATGGGGTTTTCTATGTCAAAGATTATGAGATGTAAATTGTACATGTATGACAGTGTATTTTACTTTTTCCCTGTTCTTACATACTTGTGCATGTTTTGCAGCCTCCAAAGATTGGAGCAGTAGGTAGGTTCACATAGACTTTGTATTATTCTTTTTATTATGCAATTTTATCTCCTTGGCAAAGTATTTCTTACTAGTATGGCCTGCCTTGGTTAACTGCCTGTCACATATTCAGTTTGTTAGCTTCTTGGTTGATTATTTAGTTGGTTGGTTAGTTATGAGTGAGAGGGTTGAGGGGATGGTATATATAAGGCCTAGGAAAAAATGTTGTTTCCAGTTACCCGACCGACCCTAGCAAAAAAAAGTATGCTCAGATGCATTTTAGTGCCATATTTACTGTAATTCATTTTGTTGGATCACTGGCAAAAACGTTTTAAAAACAATTAGAAAAGTGATTCTCTTGTCTATACCAACCCTCATTTTTTCAACAGCATAATTATAGGAATCACAACATGAATTCTTCTAGGACCTAATCTTAACAGCTGTCAATGGATTTTTATTAATTTTCAACATGAAACATGTACATTGTAGATAGTTTTTTTTTAACCCCCTCCCCCAGTTACCCCCCACCAGGACTCCACGTTCCTGTACACAGAGCCCATGAGACTGGTGGGATTCTGGATCGCTCTGGAGGACTGCACCACCACTAACGGGTGTTTGTGGTTCATCCCTAAGTCTCACACAGGTAAGGGACTGTTCAGTATTGACCAGGGGGATCAAGTTAGTGTTTATGTATTTACACTACTCAGAAAAAGCAACAGAGGCTGAAACATTTTGAGGGTATGTTAAATTTGACAGCTACTCCAGTGAGAATACATGATTGTGTATGTAAGTTGTATACATGTAAGTCTTAACCTTGGTATAATGATAATAACAAAACTCATATAAATTTTGGCAAGGCTTTAGGGGCAGATGCCTACAAGGCCAAAATGTATGCATGTAACATGTATGTGTAGTTAACAACAGCTTTGTAAAAGCAGCATCACTTTCCATCTGAAACCCAGAACAAATGGTCAGAAAAACAATCACCTGGAATGATGTAAAGTTGTAAGAGTAACCCCTCATGAAGAACATGACAAATTTTTTTGCCCCCCAGACGGCATCACCAGGAGAATGGTGAGAAACCCTGAGGGGTCGGACCCGCCCACTATCTTCAGAGGGGAGGACAGGGACTTCAAGGATGAGGAATTCATACCAGGAGAGGTCAAAAAAGGTCAGATACGGAAGAGTGGTTATCATATGACAAATTTATTCCAATCTTTACCTCACTTGAAAGGGAAAAAATAGATTTGATCCCCAAACTAGAAATTGTGAGCTACAATGAAGAATCGATTGATTCACAATGTGAGTGAAAAATCTTTTAGACTTTCAAACATGTTCCAGATCGTGTGACCTATGCCTTCAGAAGGATTTCAACTTTCACCAGTAGGGGTTGAAAACTTATAATGGCATAAGCCTGGGATTTGAACCCCAAACCCTCTGAACCAGAAGTGGGATCTCTAACACAAGTTGTCCTTCCCTCCGTCCAGGTACCCTGGTGCTGATCCACGGACAGGTGGTTCACAAGAGCGAGGCGAACCACTCGGACAAGTCTCGCCACATCTACACTTTCCACATGTACGAACAGGAGGGGGTGCAGTGGAGCAAGGAGAACTGGTGAGACTCAAGTGAAATTATAATTGCAATAGCAAAACTTGGTGGTCTAAAGACTCTAAGGTCTTGTGGGGTTGTGTGGCGTAGTGGTAGCGCATTTGGCTTAGCTTGGAACCAAAAGGTCCTGGGTTTGAATCCTACCATGTCCCCAATCTTGTGCCCTTGGGAAAGGCACTTTACACGACTCTTCTCACTTCACTCAGGTTAAAATGTGTACCTAGCTTTGGCTAGGGACGTCCTCTCAGAAAGGATGTAAAGCCAGAGGTCCCGTGTTTGGGAGAGCCTCACCTTGAGCATGTCAAATATCCCACCACAGTTATTGAAAAGAGTTGGGCCCTTTCCGGTGTAAGTAGTTCAAACCTTACAGTCGGGTCTCAGTGTTGACATCTTGAAGAGGCAATAGTCACCTGTTATGTCAATCCTTCCACAAATGTGGTAAATCTTAGTAAGGAAAATGGGGGCTGGATATGGTTGCAGTTGATGCTGAGGCTTGATGGCAGCCTGCAATTTGCCTCTATCCTGTGGGCCCACACTAATTCTGCTTAATATATGGTTATTTAATATAATATTATTCCTTTATCATAGCATGATATTCTCAGCTTTGAGCTTTCCAATGATAGCAACATCTTTTTTTAATGTCATTGAAGTCAAAAACTTTATCTGTATTACAGGCAGCAGCCAACAGAGGAGCACCCCTTCCCCAGCCTCTACACCTTCCAGTAAACTTCTCATGAATGTGTCCTGTCTTCAGGAGCAGTTATAAGGCCAGATGATGGAACCACAGCATTTTAAGTCAGAGTCCTTACTTATTTTCAGGACTTTAGGTTCATCTGTGCTGGCAAATGACATTTAGAAGATTTAAATTGCTGTATCTGCAATGTACTTGGAGCATCAATGATTGGATGCTAATGAACTGACTTTAAAAAGCATAATAGATTTTAAAAGAATTATCACTAAGGCAGCATACATGTATGTAACTGATAGTGTCAGGCAGTAATCAGTTATCACAAAGAGGATATTTACAAACAATTGATAACATTTGTAACAAAATGATGATTTATTTTTTTGAAACTAAATCATATCTTAAGATACCACTGCCAGGATATTTGGTCAAGATGACTTAAAACGTCTTTTACAAACTGTACTTTTCTCTCATTCAAACGGGTAACAAAAACATATGATGAAAAAATAAACAGTGTACGGCTGTTCAGACTTACAGTATTAGTTCTATGATTGTAGGTTTGTTGGTGCTTCCATGCATTATCACAGTAAAGATGGTGAACACTGTTTAAACGTTTTGCAAGATGGCTGGGACTGTTGTTATTTCTCTTCTAGGCAGTAACTGTGTCAAAAAAACCTGATGTTTTGAATAAAAGCAATTTTACATTACCTTTGTAGTAGATTTTATGACTGCAATACCTACAATGTATACATACATGTATAGATACATGCAGAATGTCTCGTCTTCATGGCAAACTGACGAAAGAATGTCCATTGCCATCAGTTGCTTAGTACAGAATAAATTGTCTATCTATTACATACAATGGTTGAAATTTAATTCTCTCTGTTCACTTTCATTTCTTAACATCTATTCCTAATGACAGGCAAGTTGATACTGAAGTCTTTTTTTTTAATTTCTTTTCAAGACATTTGATGTTTTACGTATAGAGGGGTAACCTAGTAGACAATTATTTGAAAAAGTCTTATTTTAATAACTCTTTACTCTTTGCTTCTAGTATCTTCTCTGCATTACCATTGAAGTCATCTGTGAGCTGTTGGATCTGGGAAAACAAATTGAACATGTTGGTTAAGAAGAGAAAACTTTCATAGAGCACTGACATACATGCCATCATTGTACCTGCAGTTTTCTACCTGATTAACAGAAGGCATGACAGCACAACATCCCTTCAAGTCAGGAAACTCCAGAAAACCCAATCAATTCCTCTGCATGGTATAACTATAAGTACAAGCGACCTAAGAATACAATGGGAAACTATAATTCTGTGAGCTGTCCTTTCCAAAGCAATCAGAGTACAAGTACATATAAAATATTGTAATTATACGACTAATTGTTACTGAACTGAAGAAGTTGCAAAGACCCCTGACCTACCTCCCCTTGACCTCTTGAAAAACGGCTTAGGCCGAAGAGTTTGTACTGCTACACACATGTATTGTACATTTTCAAGGTGAAATAAAGGTTGAAAAAAAAACATTAAGATGCTTTGAGGAAATCATAACACTGCCTCAAGCAAGGAACAAAAAGATTTGTTCCCCACAAATATACTACATGATAATTTTCATCAGTCTTGAAGAAAACAAAGAAATGAAGGAATCCTCACCTGTTTTTCTACCAGTCTTACTGTGTCTTCTGAGACAGTTGCTTTCGCCTTCTTAGCCTCCTTCATGGCCTGGTTCCTTATGTCTCGGATCTGGTCCTTCGTCTTGTTACAGGCTGCCTTGGCTTTCTTGGCTAGGTTCTCTCGATGTTCCTTAGTAACTCTTCAAACACAGAGAAAGAAATCATTGACAACTACATACATGTGTCGTGCTCTGGAAAAAATCAGGCCCAGGCTGCTCCTATAATACATTGTATAATGTAAATTGCAACATTGCGTGCATTGCAGCTTGCCAGGCAAAATGTACTTCAACATCATCTTGTAAATCTCCACTAATGCTTGCCAGCAAATTCACTAAAAAGTTTTGTCTTTTCCCTTGTCTTTTGGGGGAGACATCTTACACTGCTTTTTACTGGATCCAACCTGTTGGGTGATTATGTCACCTCAAACTGAAAAACAAAAAACAAAAAAAACTTTAGCTTAAGTATGATGGAGACCATCACCAGAGTTTTGGACCCTTAACAAACTGAATGTTACATAGTCTGAGTTACACATTAAAATGACTTTAACTTACTTGGGAATGGGTACCTTGATGGTGTTGCCTTCCTGGATGGGGTTCAAGTTCATCCCTGATTGGCTGATGGCATTCAGGACTGAGGGTATTTCCTGGAAGAAGGAAAATGATACAAGGCATGTGATTGGCTAACAGCAGAAGGCAGTTCCTGGAATGTAGAGTGTACTGAGATGTGATTGGATGTGATGGCAGGGTTTAGAACAAAAACTGCTATTGGCTTATGGCTGTGACCAGTAGAAGTGTAGAATAGTACTGCAAGACTTCTGACCCAGCTGATTCAGGGGTTAAAGTTTAAGGGTAACAGTTAAGGGTATGGTCACTGACCTGTGGTGCCCCAACCATGTTGACATGGTACATCTGTGGATTTTTCATGACGATCTGACCCAAGTGGTTCAGGGGAAATCTTCCATTTATTGTCTGAACTGAGATGCTGTCTAAAGAACCTGCAAAATACAACAGACATACAGAGGATTCCTTATAATTAGGCCACACCAATTTATTTTCTTGGTTAACGGATTTTTGTAGAAAAAAAATGGAGCGGGCGGGCGAAAAAAAAATAAAAATAAAAATTTGATACTACCTGCCATACAGCCATGTACAAATGTAGTGTGAAATCCAGACTGCTTATTAAGTTACGAAAATACTGGGAAAGAAACAAAAGACAAGAGAGGATGTACTGTATTGTGTTTTATTTGCTATCCACACCATTGGGTTGATAATCTTTTTCGTACACGAGCAAAAACATTATGCAGAAAACAAGTTTTAGCATGTTAACAGTTACTACAGTACTTCCAAGTTCCACCATCATCATATGTACTCTAAAACATGACACGAATGTTAACTCTCACAAGCAATTTCATAGTCACAACAACTTTAAAGGGGACAAAATTTATTCAATTTTACATGTACTGTACCTAGATTCTGCCTTGATCCAAAGTTCCAGCTTTCTCAAACAATTTAAGCTTCCGCCACAATTTTTGTCCGCCATATGCAGAACAAAAACAAATGACTGAGCCAACATGGTTCCAGAACATCGCATCTGATTGGCCAGAAAGTAAAACAATCCACGATTGGCTACTTTACGTCATGTGACTATGTGTGCAGGAGCGCCTCTAGCGACATTGGTATCAACTGCAGCAATTTCATTGGGTCTCCCTGTTCAGGGCCTGTGGGGTCTAAACTATGACGTTTTTTATTTTTATTTACATTCGGCAAAAAAAGCAAGCGGCGAATCCGTTAACCAAGGAAATAAATTGGTGTGGCCTAATGGATTTTTCTAGAAAAATAATGGAGCGGGCAGGCGAAAAA